GCGGTTCTTCCTCCGCCAACAGAAACAAATACGGTAGCGTGGAAAGATCGAGTACCGTTGAGCCTGCCAGCAACGAAGTAATTCCGAACAGAAACGGCAACGTTAACGGAAACGGTAACAGAGGCAGACAATTGGTCGACACCGAAGACGTGTCCGAGGAAAGGCTGCCGACCAACACCAGGTTTCCACCGAGGTGCGTATACGATTCGAAGCTCCGGTTTCACCTCTTTCCCTTTCTCCTTTTTTCGCGCCTCGTCGCTCGCTTCTATCCCATCGATAGTCACGAATCCGTACGACGACAGATCGCGATCGAATCACAACACCGGCACCACGGAACCGTCTCGAACCCGTGGAAATCGTCCGAGACCGGGACTGGATCTGGTCGACTCGAGCAGTTTCCGTACGCATCAGGAGGGCCCGGAATTCCCTCAAGCGTTACCCAAAGGACCGGTCAGGTTTCTAGGAGTGACTCCGAACGAGGAGAGCGAAGAGAGAACCACGAGCAGAGGACGCGGCAGACCTCAGAGAGTTCAAGAGCCTGCGCCCGTCGAAGAAATTATCGAGGACGTGGTTCCTACCGTCGCGACGAGCAGGAGACGACCGGTCTCGACCGAGGTAAAGCTCTTTCGTTTCCGTTTAGAGTTACGCGACCGTCACCGACTCTCACGGACTAATTAAATATTCCTTCAGGTTGACGCCGAAGCGAGCAAACAACCTTCGCGATCCGCCGAAACCAGCGACGAGAGAGAAGAGGACAGCTTCTCCGAATCGGACAAGCTAAAGGACAAGTCGACGTCTTCGGAAAGGGCACAAGAGCAACCGGAATCGGACTCTTCGTCGGCGTCGCCCAATGTCGCTTCGACCGCTACCGAGGCTCCGACCACCGAGTACCCCTCCTCGATGGACAAGGTTGCTTTGGATCTGTACGCTTTCGTGCAACAGGGTCAGAACACCGTGGTGGACGCGTCCAGCAGCGAATCGAGCCTCGATGCCGATTCTGCCGCTGACGGAACCACGCTCTCGAACGACGAAACCGACACCACCGATCTGACGGCCGTCACCGATCAATCGGCCACCACGATCGTCCTCGACGCAACGACCGTGCCTCCGACCTCGCCTGAACCGACCACGACCGTCGCCACCACTACTCCTAGCACCACGACCACCACCACTACCACGACCACGACCACGACCACCACGGAGCCACCCACCACAACCACCACCCAGGCACCGATCGGCAGAGGAAAGTTTAGAAGACCGGGTATCGGAGGAGCCGCAGCTCCACGAAATCGGTAAGTGTCTCGCGTTTCCGCCGAAGGTTCGATACACTAACGATCGCGTTACGATGTTTCTCTATCAGATTCAAATCGAACGGTGGCGGTGCAACGAGCACCGAGGCTCCAGCGGAACCGACGCAACGCCCTCGAGGACGTTTCGGTAATAACGGTTCCAACGGATCGGGCTTCAAGAGATCTAGGCCAGGACAGAAGCAACCCGTGGAAGAGGACGCGGTACAGAAGGAGAGCGCGAGTTCCGTCCACGCGGAACGTCCCGGGACCGGCAACAATCGCAACCGATTCCGTAGCTCCGGAGGAACGAGATCGACCGGCTCCACGACGACGACGTCGGCTCCGTCGTCGTCCAACGGTGGCTCCTCCAGCGGGCCTACCGGAATATCGAGGCCGTCGTTCAACAAGCTACCCGGCACTCGACGACGAGGAAGACCGACCACCGCCGCACCGAATACCAGCGAGGAGAGCCAAGAAACTGCGAAGGAAACTGCTCAGGAAGCCGTCACCGCGCCATCCAAGTCCACCCCTCGCGCTAGACTTCCGGCCACGGGACCGAGACCGATCATCAAACCCGGAGCTCGAGTGAATCTCAGACAGAAACCGGGACAATCGACCACGACCACGAGCACCACGCCGCCCCCTCCTCGATGGACAAGGTTGCTTTGGATCTGTACGCTTTCGTGCAACAGGGTCAGAACACCGTGGTGGACGCGTCCAGCAGCGAATCGAGCCTCGATGCCGATTCTGCCGCTGACGGAACCACGCTCTCGAACGACGAAACCGACACCACCGATCTGACGGCCGTCACCGATCAATCGGCCACCACGATCGTCCTCGACGCAACGACCGTGCCTCCGACCTCGCCTGAACCGACCACGACCGTCGCCACCACTACTCCTAGCACCACGACCACCACCACTACCACGACCACGACCACGACCACCACGGAGCCACCCACCACAACCACCACCCAGGCACCGATCGGCAGAGGAAAGTTTAGAAGACCGGGTATCGGAGGAGCCGCAGCTCCACGAAATCGGTAAGTGTCTCGCGTTTCCGCCGAAGGTTCGATACACTAACGATCGCGTTACGATGTTTCTCTATCAGATTCAAATCGAACGGTGGCGGTGCAACGAGCACCGAGGCTCCAGCGGAACCGACGCAACGCCCTCGAGGACGTTTCGGTAATAACGGTTCCAACGGATCGGGCTTCAAGAGATCTAGGCCAGGACAGAAGCAACCCGTGGAAGAGGACGCGGTACAGAAGGAGAGCGCGAGTTCCGTCCACGCGGAACGTCCCGGGACCGGCAACAATCGCAACCGATTCCGTAGCTCCGGAGGAACGAGATCGACCGGCTCCACGACGACGACGTCGGCTCCGTCGTCGTCCAACGGTGGCTCCTCCAGCGGGCCTACCGGAATATCGAGGCCGTCGTTCAACAAGCTACCCGGCACTCGACGACGAGGAAGACCGACCACCGCCGCACCGAATACCAGCGAGGAGAGCCAAGAAACTGCGAAGGAAACTGCTCAGGAAGCCGTCACCGCGCCATCCAAGTCCACCCCTCGCGCTAGACTTCCGGCCACGGGACCGAGACCGATCATCAAACCCGGAGCTCGAGTGAATCTCAGACAGAAACCGGGACAATCGACCACGACCACGAGCACCACGCCGCCCGCGGTGGAGGAGTCGGAGGAGTTGTCCGTCGAGGAGCCGGCCGGAGAGGGGACCGAGGAAGAGACTCACGAGGTAAGAATAGCGCCGTCTTTTACCGAAACGATTCCACGATTCGCTTTCACTAAATGGCCTTTCGCGAAATGTCACGACCGAGCCGGTCACGAACGAGGCGACCGTAATCCTCTCGCGAAAAGTCTCCACGTTGCTTTTCCTGTTCAGGCACCGGCCGAAACCAGCCCGTCACCGGCGCGTTCGACCACCGTCAATCCGTTGAACAAATTGCGCAACCGAAACAGACTACAGGTGCATCCTAAAGCGAGCACCAGGTCACCGGTGCCGGCGGTGTCCAGAAGGTCTCCGTTGTTGCCCCGTCGCAAGGTGACCGAGGCACCCGTCGCGCAAACCAGTCAGGAGGAGGCGTCCGAGGAGCCGGAGCTTTCCAGTGAAACGGAACCGACCGAGGCAACTTCCGGCGAGACCAGTACGGCCGCGAGCACCAAACACGAGGAGACCAGAGGACTCGGTGGACTTTTAGCGCCCAGGCGTAGGATAACGCCTCGACGTCCCGGACAAATCGTTCCCCGGGAATAACAGCGAGATTCGTCGCGAACGTGAACTCGGTGCTCGAACGATGACCAAGCACTCCTTTAATCCGTCGAACCGCTTCGATTCCTTGTCCTAACGAGAAGCGGTTCGACTCGAATCGAACTCGATCAGCCTGATCGAGATCGTTTCGAAATCTTTCTCGTAGCCGTAGCTTGAAAATTCGACGAGATCGAGCACGAAAGTAGCGAAACGAGTCGTTCTTTGTTCCTGAATGTTCGTGCTCCAAGTTTCGATGCTCCAACTTTTAGTTTTAATCTAGTTTCACGAAATTGAACCGGCTACCTTGACCTCCGAGGATTCGCTTACCAAAAGGATGCGCAACGAGAACGAATAATCGAGACGATAAACGACGACGAACGACGACGCGCGGACGAGCAAACGCGTCGTACCATTCGAAAATCTCGCGCTACGATGGTGGATGTAAATAGTGAAATTAACTCTCGTCTTTTGAACCGTATTCTCCCGCGAACTCGAGAACGGATGGGATCGTCAAAACGGCGATGGGACTCGTCGACCGTGTTCGACGATCGCATCGATGATCGCGTCGACGATCGTGAATAGAAAACGTTTGGCGATGTCTGTGCGAAAGCGATCTCGACGATACGCGACCGCGTCTCCTCGACTATCTGCTTTTGGAACCAACTGCGGCACGGGTCGTATCGTAATATATATATAAATATAATATTTTTGTAATTACGATGTTCCACTACACGTTGTAAATATGATATTGCAATTAAAAGTACGTAAGCTTAATCGAATCTATTCACTATTTAATAACCCTGAGAAATAATCACGTTTTCGAGTTTGGAAGGTGACGAAAGAATCGATAGGCGATAACGAAGCGATCGTTGTTATCGACCGTTCGGGGACGATGATTCTCAGAAATGACGCACGGTTCGTGACGAGCAAAGTCAGGTGAACCACGAATAGAAGCAAAATTCAGCAAAGATGGTGAAAGACGGGGAACAGGTCGAACGCTTTTAACCATTCGATGTCTAAATTAGTAGTGAATAATCGTCCGTGCTCTAGTCAATATGTGAGTGAGGATTCATGAATTTGCAGCTGGTATTGATAAGCACGCGTCAATTTGGAAAACGAGACGAACGCGGTGGAAAACGAAGGTACGGCAGGATGCTTTGTTTATGGAGATCAGCTGTGTTACCAAACACTTGTATCGCTTTCGCTGCTGCGTCCGCGACGCTTCTATTTTTGTCGAATAAAGGTCAGCCGAAAGCAAAGACGAAGCGACGCTCGACGCACGAACGATACGTCGAAAGCTGGACGCGTCTCGTTGATCGAACCAGGATATTTCATGATAGACTTTGTCTTCGAAAAATTATGCGTCGAAAGAAATAGCAAAAATTAAAAAGTAAAATGCGCATCCTCTTATCGAACAGTGAGTCAATTTATTGTCGCGCGTTCACCGATTTTTCGTTCTCGCGTTTCCCCTCGTCCAGCTAAATATTATTCGTACGTCGTGTTTCACGTTTCTCCTCATCGTCGACGTAGTTCTTTTAACTGTACGAAAATTCTTCAACGTTACGTTCACGATATTTTAGTGATCTTCGCACGATAACTGTTTCGAGCGTATGCTTTCGAAGAAGTTTCACGAAAAAACAAGTAAGAGTATCGTAATCGAAAGATTCCACGTGTACCTCCGAACAAACTTTGCTTTCCCATTAACGTGAAGAAAACGAGCAAAATGATCCATCCTTGCGATCGATTGGGAAACATCCTGATACAACGATATCTTTAGATAAAGAGCGGAACTGTCGAAATCGTTGCTCGTTATCAACGCCAAACAAAGGTAGATCAAGAGAAAGTTGCAAAAGATTTTTTCTTTTCCAATCAAACAAAATAAAGCAACGTAGCAACTAGTTGACAAAGTCAACTGCGTTTTGTCTCGCGATTACGCGTTTATCTGGTGGGTTGCTTACGTTTTAGATGCTTGCGGAGCAACCATCAACCGGTAGTTAATTAACATTTATGACATGAAAGAATGAAACGAGAAACCGTTATTACCTGCGTAGAGTCAAACAGACGAGCTAAAACGGTAAGACTCTCTGTCTCTTAGGTTTTCTACCGTGCAACCTTTAGTCGCATGACTCCTCTTTACAATTTGGTTGCTTCTCGATTACTTCCTTCCTTTAAATTTCTATGTACTCTCTCTCTCTCTGCTTAAAACTTTATCCCATACTGAAGGTTCGACGTTTTATTTGTCTCTGAGTTCCTTGACTAGTCATGGAGACACTGGGACAAGTGCTTTTCAAGATTATATTAAGCCGAATTGTGTTTGCCTAGATGACGACCGTACTGGATGGCAGGTACCAACGTATGGAGCCGTACAGAGGAGAAGAGGAGGAGGAAGAGGAAGAGGATGAAGAAGATGACGAGCACGAGGAAACTCCTCAAGAATCTGGTGTTATGATTCATGTGGTACCAGAGGGTAACAAGTCTAGATGGAACCACGTGGAAGATCTGGATTCGTTTTTTACAAGAATGTATCACTACCATCAGAAGCATGGATTCGCTTGTATGATGCTGCAGGAAGCGCTTGAACTAGGACAATTCATTTTCGTAGTTACATTTTCAACCTTTCTCTTTCACTGCATCGATTATTCCGTATTGTTCAAGTAAGATTTCGTCCGTCGTAAATCCGAGCCCATGGTACCTTTGTTATTCTCTTTTATTTTGTCCTTTAGGAACAAAGTAACCAACAGCACCTCGCACAAAACGTCAATCAGCGACGCGATTCTATCGACGGGCGAATGTACGGCATCCGTGGGTCTGGTCACTTGGATCTGTATTTTAGTAGCCGGAATTTTTTGGATTTTGCGAGCAATCAAAGTTTTATACCATTTCACGCAGTTTTGGGACATAAAGCTGTTCTTTAACACCGCGCTGAAAATCGACGACTGTGATCTGGACAATCTGACGTGGCACGAGGTACAAAAACGAGTGAGAGAAGTGCAAAAAGAACAAGAAATGTGCATTCACAAAAGGGAGCTTACGGAATTGGACATATATCATAGAATATTACGATTCAAGAACTACATGGTGGCTATGATGAATAAATCCTTGTTACCGGTACGGCTCAAAGTCCCCATCATAGGAGAAGTTATTTTCATGACCAGAGGATTAAAGTACAACATGGAATTGCTTCTGTTTTGTAAGCCTTTAACACGCGTTAAGTAGTAAATAACAATATTCGATCTTTGCGCGAATTAACACAAATTCCCGCCAATTACGAATTACCAATTACCGATTGCTTTTACATAGGGGGTCCGTGGTCTCCGTTCGAGAACAATTGGCATCTCAAAGAAGACTACAAAAAACTAAACAAAAGGCAAGAACTAGCAAGATCGCTGTCCAAGCATATCTTGTGCGTCGGAATAGCGAATTTTTTACTCTGTCCCCTGATTCTTCTGTGGCAGATACTTTACTCGTTTTTCAATTACGGAGAGGTAAGAAGCAAATATTTCGATGGTTGTCCAATCAACATTAATCGCGTCGAAAAACGCGTGTCCTCGTGCAGATCATCAAACGAGAACCAGGAACTTTGGGCACGAGAACTTGGTCTCTGTACGGTCGGCTCTACCTTCGACATTTCAACGAGCTCGATCACGAATTGAACGCGCGATTAAATCGTGCCTATCATCCGGCTTCGAAATACATGAGTATTTTTACGTCCCCGATCATGACCGTCCTCGCCAAGAACGTCGCTTTCGTCGCTGGAAGCATATTGGCGGTTTTATTGATATTGACCGTGTACGACGAAGACGTACTGACCGTAGAACACGTGCTAACCACGATGACCATATTGGGCGCGTTGGTAGCAGGCGCAAGAGCGTTTATACCCGACGAAAATTTAGTTTGGTGCCCGGAGGCCCTTTTAACCGCTGTTCTAGCGCATACGCACTACAGGCCAGATAGTTGGCGAGGTTACGCTCACACTCAAACCACTAGAGCGCAAGTGGCACAACTTTTTCAATATCGAGCTGTTCATCTTTTAGAAGAACTAATTTCCCCTCTGCTGACGCCGTTCATCTTGTGCTTCCACATGAGACAACGAGCCCTGGACATAGTCGACTTTTACCGCAATTTCACCATCGAGGTGACGGGGGTCGGAGACGTGTGCAGTTTCGCGCAAATGGATATTCGGAAACACGGAAACCCGGTGTGGCAAACGGTCACCGAAAGTCCCGTCGAAGATCGGACGACCACCACCGGTTACGAGCATCAACGGTACGGCACGGAAACGGGCAAATTACCGATTCCCACGTCGAATCAGTATACCCAAGCGGAAAACGGGAAAACCGAACTGTCCCTTATACACTTTACTTTGACGAATCCCGAGTGGAAACCACCGACTCACGCCGAGAACTTTGTCACCGCTTTGAGGGAAAGAGCGAGGAAAGAAGTACACGGCTTACACGGCGAGATCAACCCTCTATTGACGAGCTTGAACAGCTTGTCTGGCTTGGGACCGGGTGTAAGCGTTTATATCGATCAATTACTATCCGATATCGAGGATAGCGTTAACGATTTAATCTTTTCGTTCGTTTCAGTACAACGACATCGTCTCGAATATAATTCGGAGCACGATGATGAACCAAGTGCTAGGAGGGACAAGCACGAGCAACGTGTTCGCGAATCAACCCGCAGCCTCGACGGCTTCCGCCGGCGTTCACGAATCGTACAACTTCAGGTCGGACGGTTCGATGCGCGCGGTTCGACGCGGTTTAAGTAAAGCGGAAGGTCCGATACACAACGATAAAGGCTTTCTTTACGGACTGCAACAAGGAATGTCGAGCCAGTCTCTGGCCGCTTCCATGTTCGGATCGTGCCACGATATGGCTATCGATTTCTCGCTACCGGTGGAATTGACTGCTGCCGATATGTCTCTGTCTACATTGTACCTGCACGAACTTCATCACAGACAAGTACCTTTCCACCTCGCTCTTTTAATAATTCAACTCGCAAAATATTTCTAGTATTTCACGAACTTTATCGATTCCGCGCAGGTTCGACGAAGAAGCTATCAAGAAATGGCCACAAGAAGCGTATGGCAACGAAGTCCCGTTCAAGAACTCGCCGCGCTTCCTAATGTTAGGCAAGAGAGAGCACCGTTGCTGTTACATCAGGACTCCTCTATCAGAAGCAACAGGGAATCCACGTACACCAACAACACGCGTTTAGATAATATTTGAACCATATTCGCGATTTTTAACAGAATAAAATGTTTTTATCATCCGCTTTACGATTGCGACGTCCTCGTGATTTATTTTCCGTGGTAGCTTGAACGTTTAAGAATCCGTGTTGCGTCGACGTAAATACGGTATCGTGATATCGCTTCGATAGACTTATCCGTTTTGAAAGTCAACGACTTCGAACGCCTACTAAAAATAACGCTCGAGGCCTATGCACCGCTACGTACCGCGCGTCGAAAGATTATCAACAAAACTTCGGCTAACGTGGTACGCGGTTATTTCGAGACGTTACCGCGTTATCTTTGCAAAGGATAAACCGTCTATCGAACCGATCGAAAATCGACTCCTTCCATCAGCCTGTTTTTATCAAAGAAATCTGTACTTTCTTATTGTTTCCTTCGACGCTTACTGTTTGTACGCTGATCGAGAATAAAAGAGGAGAACAATCGTACGAATGCGAAAAGTAAAGGAGTACTCTTGCGTTGAGTTATATAAAATAAGAATCTCTTTGTACGTGGTAACGTTGTCTCTATTTTGTAGTTCTCGATGCCACGATTCTCTCTAGTCACACGAAACGAATGGCGCGCCATAGCATAAAGAGTTATATTTATTTGTTAAATGTACGTTATTCGATAAACATGGTGGGGTTGAACGTTAATGGGTAAGGTATGCGTACCCGTACCCTCGCACCAATATTTCCCTATTCTCGATATGTGCTCGAATGCAGCTAACGAACTATGCGCAAACTTTAAAATCGTTCTTTTAGAAAAGACTTGCAGGTTGTCACGAGGCATCGGTCGAGAACGATTTGGTTCGTGTTCGTTCATCGTTACGCGCAATTCTCATTAATTTCGCAAACGCCGATTTTTATCAACATCGAACAATTACGAGTCGCGCTCGAACGATCTTCGAGTTAAATAACGCGTAATAAAAAAAACTATACGAAACAAAAGTTTTTGCTAGGAAAAATCTTATATTAACGTGAATTTATGAAAGAAACGATATTATTGACTTAAGAGTTATCTGTAATTTATCATTACGACAAATAAATACGTTTCGTAATAAACTGTTTTTTGTAAAAACCTGCAGATCAATTTATTCGTACGCGCGCGCGTAACCCTGGATACGGTTCAACAATTGAACGTTGAAAAATATGACAGGCGAAAAAGAAATGGTAGAAATTAGTAAAAATATGAACACTCACCAAAGCTGGAAGAACTCGTCGGCAGATTCATCGTCGGGGGATGTCATCAAGTACAATCTGCGATGCAATCGAAATATCAGCGAAAAGATGACGAAGAAAGATTTCGTATACGACATTCGTCCGCCGAGTCAAGGAACCAGAAAGGTGTGTACACGAATAGACCGGATCGTGGCATTCTCCTTCGGGTATCTTCCACTTTGATGCACACGCGTTATCACTGTTATATTAATATTCGATCGAATTATTATAAAACCACGAATTTTATTTGCAAATAATATTTAGTTAACACGAGTACGAATGACGCCGAATAGAACACCAAACGTTTAAAACAAAGATGGCGGTAGCGTAGCGTCACGAGAAATCAAAATGGCGTCGAAAAATACCGCGAAAATGAATAAAGCAACGAGCCGAATACCACTGTGATTAATCACGTTTGCTATACACCCAAATTACGTTTTGTTTCGTTAATATCGATCGCTCAATCTCGGATTAATGAAGTAAATTTAATCAATCGCGAAATATTTGAACAAAATGCGACGTTACAATAGCATGAATAAACGCGGCGTCACTTTTATCTGCAAGTACAGTTTTACAGTTATCTTACGTGATCGAACGAATATTACGATAAGCCCGCTTCTCTCCACACTTCACAACTCATTAATAAATGAATATTCACTATTTATCACGTAAGACACACGCGACGCGAAACAAAACTCGAATATTCGGGAGCAAATTCTAAACGACCCGCACTCTCCGAACGCCGCGACGGACATGCGCACAACGTCGACTCTAGCGCTCCGTGCGCCGAATTGGCGGGAAATCGTATTTCTTTCGATAAATCGCATGGCTTATATTTATTGATCTCTTATTTTTTAAAACATTGATTTTCTCGTCGAGTTACATTCTTTTCTTTCTTACTTTCAATCGGGCAGATTTATTATTTTCGCCGATAGTAAACGCAGAAAATAAATTTTCAGCTGGAAGAAATAAAATACCCCATAGTGTTACCGTTGCAGCTTCGTAAGAAACAAAGCGCCGACTCTAAAATACCTCGATATGCTGTCATTTCGGAAAGAGACAAGTATGCGGGTAGCGGTGACGCGATAAACGTAAGTTGCATCGTTCGTTATTATCCCGTCATTCGATACGCACTATCATCCAAGGCATGATCCTTCAGAGATACAGCAAATGCATATATCGATACGGTATCGCCCTTACAACCAAACAATTTTTTTTCACTATGAAGTGATTACATGGTTATATAAAACTTTAAACGTTAGCTTTCAGAGCAACGATACTTGAGATTCGAGTGCAATTTCTGTCACGAACAAATTGCTACTTTACTGTCACTGTCGACGCACGTTAAATTTCATCGACGAAAATACTGCAAGTACTGTTACTGGATACTAATGGACAACGAAACGATGGAAGAGCACATTGAAAGTGTACATTGAGTCGATCCAACTGTTCTACGATATATGTTTTACCGTTGTCGCTTACCGATTGGAATACAAGTTACAATACAAGATCTGGAAATTTGTAAACAGAGTTATTTATTTATTTTGGACAATCTATCGCGATGATCGCTCATTACGGTAACAGTAGTAGAGGGGAGGTCGTATCGCGATAACGATAATCGGCAGTTGTCACCCTGGGACGAAGGCGTGGCAAAAGATAGTCGAAATCGTCGAGATGGCTCAATGATATAGATTTTGATCACCCGATGGTCCAGATTGGGTGTCCGGAGCGATAGCCTTCAATACAACTTCGACGTTATCACGGCAATTTACACAATTGATCGCGCGTCCACGGAGTTGTAGATCGTTGGACAATAGCTTCAGATTCTGCGGAACGTTAATCGAGTTTCTTCGTGAAGACATAATCGTGAAAGACGCATTTCGATTTTTGTAAAATTCCATCGCTTACCTTTGCTACGGTTACGTCGATCCTCTTCAAATTCTTGCAGTCGAGTACAACGTTGGAGGAGTTATTCTCCGACAGTTTCATTATGCGGGCTCGGAAATCCTCCGCTGCTGGGAAGGCGATAGTTTCTTCGGGAGTAACGCGTATCAAAGCTTTATCCCCTGTCTGCGTAAATAAAACTTCACCGAATAAAATTTCCTCTGATTCATCGAAACAAATATGGACATCGTTATTTACCTGTTCGACTTCGGTTTGAACGGTAAATCGCGTCGAGAAGTACAGCAATATTACCAGATTCAAAACTATTCCGATAAGGATTCCCCATTCGAGTTTGAGAAAAACGCAGAACAGGAACGTAATCAACATCAAGAAAAAGTCCACTTCTGCAAAAGAAACGCGATCAAAAGGAATCCGAATAACGCCTTTACACACGCTACATACAATGTATCGGTTAGCTTACTTCTGGCACGCCACAATAGAGCGTACGTTTTAAAGTCGAGCATATAGTACATGGCGCATATGATAACTGCGGCCAGAGTGGCTTTAGGAATGAAACGAAACGTCGACGTCAACAAGCTGGATGCGAGCAACACGAGGCAACCTGACAAAAAGTGTTGATGGACGTTTTGTGAACGTAAGAGAATTCTATAACGTCGCGAGCTTTCGCGAAAAAGAGAAAATCGTTCGGTGACGAGATAGAAACTCGCTCGCGAGATACTTACCTGTGAATAAACCTCCGAACGTAGTTTTCACTCCGGACGAATGATTGACCGCAGTTCGAGTGAAAGAACCGGTAACCGGCATCGATCGAACGAACGAGCCAAACATGTTGCACAGTCCCAAAGCGAGCATCTCTTGCGTGGCATCCAAAGATTTTCCCATCGCTAAACAGACATATTATTCCGCAAGTGTTTTATCCGCGCGATTTCGTATCGGATTAAAGCGTATACCGCGTACCGAAAGCTTTCGCTATGGCCATGTGTTCGATGGCTGACACTACTGGAACGAAAAAGAGCGTAGTCCCCATGGCAGTGGTCGTTTCGATGAAATCGTATGTGCGGTTATTGGCAATTATCGAGAAAGGCGGTGGTCCAAACGGTGGCAGTCCCTCTCCCAACGTCCCTGGAAATGGTATTTGTCTTTTGTCCCTTTCTCTCTCCCTCCTTCTCTTGTCTCCATCTTTCCAACTAAACCACGGATCGCGATAAATTTGGATGGCCCGTATCCTCACCGGTCAGCACAAAGGGTGTCTGTTCATTGACGAAGAATATGTATGCCAGGGCAGTTCCCACGACGACCACTATAGCGTTACGCGCCAGAGTAACGACCCATGCAATTTTTTGTATCCAATTACCAGTTCGTCGTCCGGGCAAATGCTTGTATACATTTCAAATTAAATGAAACAAAAAGAAAAAAAAAACAAGAAAATATAGGACTCTCTCGAATCGCGTTACGACGATGCGTCGATTACTCGGTACGTATAGTTCAGTCGCGATTATAATCTTCAAGCGCTTTACGATCAAATGTACCTTGAATAAGACCAGCACCGCTATCGTTACAACGCCTAATAACGTGTCTTGATATCGGATTTTCTCCAGATTGCTAAAGATCGCATCCAAGGCATCCACCAAATCCTCGCTTCTACCAGGAATGCCTAATAACGATTTAAACTGCGAAGCCGCGATGTTAATCGAAGCTGCAGCCGTGAAGCCCGTAATTACAGGTAGCGAAATGAAACTCAACAGAAAACCTGAAACCCGCGTTGACTTAATATTACGCTGATCCAAAGAAACCGCATACGCACAGATGCGAACGTAGTCCACTTTTCGTCCACGCCAACTTACCCAGGTGAAAAAGACCGAGCAACGCGATCATGCAACCCTTTAAAAACGTTAGCAGCACCGCTATGTCTGGCCCATAAGCGACTACCAGAGGTTGCACCATTGTTGCCATAATGGCTGTAGGACCGATGGTGATACTCTTGCAGGAACCGAACACAATGTACACGAACGATGCCATAAAGGAAGCGTATAGGCCATACTGAGGAGAAACACAGAAGTCGAACGATTATCGATTACCAATTTTCGTGGACGCTCGAATTTCGTACCTCTGGACTTAATCCGGCAACGACACCGTACGCGATACCTTGAGGAATCGCCGTGAGGCCAACCGTGAAGCCAGCCAAGGCATCTTGAGGCAACCACGGGAGCTTGTACGTCGTCAACCACGATAGAATTGGAAGTCTTCGTTTTGCATACCGGTTTATGTCGCAACGAGCCACTTGAAAACGAAAAATATGATCGCTTTATTCTCGTTAAGTCTCAGAAGCTATTATTAGAGAAGCGAAAACTTCTTTCGGTTGTAGTAGCTCCCTTTTTAATCGATTACAAATTTGTCATCCCGATGTTCAGTCATTTGAAACTTTTTGCAACGACCTAAATGAGTGGAAATCTATTGGACCGACGTCGGAAGAATATGTAGATTGCGCGGCATTGATCAACCACTCTTCCGGACTGCCCACTGGATAATAAATGAAGTATGAGCTAGCATTGTCACTTAATTGAATCGTTCGATTTCTGATTTTCAACAGGTAAGTTATTTTACGAAACACAAAAACCGACAGAACTTTTGCACTTGTCAAATAGTTGGAATTATTCTGTACATATTTGGTTATCTCACTTTTCTCGCGCAGCGCGTCCCTCGTGTTACTGAACATCGTTTTGATCCGTTACCGAGACGTCGAACGAAAAACTCTGCGTTCTCTGCGTAGAAACCTCTGATAGGGTTCGAGTAACCGTGAAACGAAAGAAACGCGGAGGATCCTCGAAGCACGGAGTGTCCTCGATCGCGTGGAACATCGGTTTCTCGTGTGCTCGAACAATCGCCGTGCCACCGACTGCCAGTATTTATCACGCCATCCCCTCTCTTGCTTTTATCGTTACTCGACGATTCAGTAGCGGCAATCTACGAACGTCGATGAGACTCCGTAAATTCTCCCCAAAGTTTAGCTCGTCATCGTTGGTCGGTTTCTTTTCCCTTCAGCCATAATTGCTTCGCAAATTGCATTCGTCGTGGCGCGTTACAACGACGAAACTTGGTAGAATTATATCGGATTCGAAACTGAAATGAAATCGTGTCAGGCAATAAATCGTTCGGTCTTTCGGTTTCTTCGCTTTTTGTGCTTCTTGCGTGTTTTTCTTCTCGCATCTCTAGGAGAAATCAACGGAAGAGAAGGCAACGCCTGCGCGAAATCCAGGATTCTCGGTCAGCTCGGTCGGGTTAGCGACTATGAATGAAAGCTCGAAGCTTTTAGTATCGCGCGAAACGGCCGACCGTTCGTTACCGCGTTATTGCATCCTACTCGCTTTCGGTGCCCGTTTCGATTCGATCTAGTTCTTTTTTTCTGTTGCACCAGCGATAAATCCGGTAAGTATCGGAAGTTTCTAAATTAGAACGATTTACACCGAGGAAAACACGTAAGAGTAACCAGTTACAGGTACCAGCAGACCTCTGTGTCATCTCCTTTGGAAAACGCGTTATTTCCTGCACGATATTGAAATGAAAAAAGTTTCTTCAACTTAATATTCCTCGTGGAAGTATACTACAGTTGCCGACTCGATTGTCGTTGTTGAAGGAAAATGTCATTCAACGCGCGCCCGTGTTTTTTCGGGAGCATTCATAAATTTTGGCGATTCTTCGACGATGTCTTGTCCTTGTTACGTCGCGAGGATAATTATACGAGCGTCGCGTCGCCGAGGAAAACAATAATTATTAGGAAAAATTTGTAAAAGAAACGGTATAATGATTGAGACGGAAATCGATGATATTCGCTCGTGAACGACCAGGTACGACCACTGCTTTAGATTTTATTCGTGCATTATCACGGTGAGATTGTAATTTCGAATTCGCAATAAAGAAATCTCGATGCATCGATATTTGGCGTGCATTCGTGTAATGAAGCGCCATTGAAATCTTTCATTATAATTGGAACACGAAGATCATAACTTATGTCCAAAAATAATTGTCGGAATTAATGGTATTCGGGAATTTACCACTTCAGCATAACGTAAAACTACTCGAACCCACTTGTCGGTATCGTAACGTAATTTTCCCTACGTATTATAGGACTTATATCTTTGATAAAACTAGGTACGTGACGGATTAAACGATGATTGATCGTCGAACGATAGGCTCTGGATTTGTAACGCGAAAAATATAACAATCGCACAGCACGTAGAGCAACGAATTTGCATCACGTAACATGGAATACGTAACGAAAGCGCGATATCAAAATATTAAAGTGTTCTCGACGTTGACAGAAACACGTGCTTCGCGATTTCGAATCGACTTGAAAATTCTTATTGATCGCGCAAAGTTATTTCAGGGCGTCGTACATTAGAAAAATGAACGTACCAGAGTAACTATTCCCTTGCCTCTCTTTTCCTTCTCTCGCGATTTTCTTTCAGGACGATCCACGACACGGTCATGTACGAAATTTATGCCAACGAAACTTTGGAAGGCAACGATACACTTCCGCGCAACGTATCTCTGTACGAGGAATACATCTTCGATAGAACCGACGTGAAAGTGATTTTTATTACGCTTTACAGCATCGTATTCGTCTGCTGCTTCCTCGGTAAGTCGTTTACATTTCCTAGCGACATCTGATCCTCCGCTTTTCGAGGACTCGAGGGTATAAACGAATTCCAATCGTCAAGTGTCACTCCGTGAATCGGTTTGCGCAGCAAGCAGGATGCATACGTATATTTATAATGCAGGTAATTAGCCAGATGAATCGCTTTGATCACGCGTCGCGCGATCCATGACCGATGAAAATTAACTGGTTTTGTGAAACGATTCCATCTACGGTTCCTGATGTTCCGAACGCGCAAGCTAGCGCGATACTATCACGAATAGTAGGATTTATTACGAACGCCAGAGAAAACGAGATCAGGAACATATATACGGTGTTATCGTCCCGTTTCGACAAGTTCAATTTCTCGATCGAAGCGAACAGATATACGGGAACGTTCGACCGAAAGCAAGAAAACCGAAGAGAAAGAGGAGGGAACGTTTTAAACGTGATTCGATTAATGATGCCTCGAACTCCGGTTAAAGTTTCTACTTCTCGTTGGCGGGACAACAAATTTAATTTACGTTCGCTCTCATTTACCGTGTAATCGGACGAAAGGAAAATTTTTCCAAACTTTATATCGATGCACGCGAAACCGAATCTTCGACTTTCTTCCGAATTCGTTTAAACTTCATTACGCGTTTATTTAGAGATTTGCGAATTCTTCGAAACATATCCTACCGATATTTCTCGTCTAAAGTTAGCAACTCTTGCATTATCTAAAAAATTTATTAATAAATAAATTGCTATTATAAATTACTAAATTTATTAGCAGCATTATTTCATCGAGTCAGAATTGTACGCGCACACGCGTTCGCGTACGTATCACTTTTCGCTAACAACCTATAGATTAATCGACGATGAATCTCGTTGCCCAGCAATTCGTTGCAATAAATACTTGTGTAAATACTAGTCTTCGATCGAGTGCTCGTATCGATTACGCGAAACAGAGAAGTTTACGTAATTCGATAAGGGAGAATTCAATGCAAATAAATAGAGCTCCGTGTAGCTTGACCAGTGCACAGCGTAAAGTGGAAAAATATCGATTTTAGAGAAGATTTATTCGCGCTCTCGATGTACTCGTTCTCGCCCGGATAATAGAAACGAACAAATTTTATTCGATGCATCGATTTCAATCATTCTCCGTGATTTCCGAATGTCTTGAGAGATTTTCCGTGTTTCGGTAATACTTTTCCGTCGCGATATATAATGCACGGCAACCTGTCGGACATATCGCACAGAAGGTCCCAGCAAATAATTGAACCGTAACTCTGCTTCTTGTTATCGCGACGCTTTCCTCGTCTTCCCCTTCGGCTTTGCATGGAACATTAAAAATGCTCCGTTTCATTTCGTTTGCTGGAGTCGCATCGATTTTTCTTGATTTAACGATACATAATTGAAATAGTCTTTTCCACTTCGTTTGCTCATCAATCACTTCAGAATATGAAAATTGAACATGACACAGCAAACTACTCGTTGAACAGTTTTCAATTCGAGAAATATCTGGTTGTCAAAGCGGACGGTCGAAAAAATGTAACAAGCGTAATTTCATAAAGGGATCGCTTTTTCGAACATTTCTTTTCAGGTAATTCGTTGGTGATCTTGGTGGTTACGTTCTCCCGAAGATTACGGGGTGTAACGAACTTCTTCCTAGCGAACTTGGCCATGGCCGATTTCTGCGTCGGTATCTTTTGCGTGTACCAAACCCTGACCAACTATTTGACGAACAGCTGGCTACTCGGTGACTTTCTTTGCAAGGTTTACATGTTCGTTCACGCGCTCTCCTACACAGCGAGCATATTGATCTTGGTGGTAGTCTGCGTGGAACGTTATTTGGCCATCGTTTACCCGATCAAATGCAGATCCGTGCTCACAAGGCGTCGACTGCGACTCGTGATAGGAGTCGTTTGGGTCGTGGCTGCGATCTACGCTTCACCCAGGTTCTTCTACGTGGAAACCATGAAAAATCGCTTGATCTCCGGCGACGTGGATATCATCTGCTTGGCTAACATCAGGAAACACAACAAGGCTCTCCTGGACGCGGTGAACCTCGTGTTTCTTTACCTCGTTCCGCTCGCGCTCATGTGTTGCTTGTATTCGAGGTTGGCGATAGGCTTGTGGAGAAGCAGCACCGCTATCGACGACACAGATTCGACGGACAAAACTGGAAAGGGTAAAACGCGTCGCGTTCACGCCTCCAGCAGAAACGTCCTACGAGCCAGACGAGGCGTCATCAGGTACGTATGATCGGGTTTTCAAACAATTGACGATGCCTGATCGAGGAAATGAAACCGAAGTGGACAATTTTTCAGAATGTTGATCGCCGTGGTGACGACTTTCGCCATCTGCAACTTGCCGCAACAAGCAAGAATCGCTTGGGGATATTGGGACTCGAGTTACGATCGTACCTCGGACTTTAGCACTCTTCTAACTCTGTCGACTTTCCTGATTTCCTATGCAAACTCTTGCCTGAATCCTCTGCTGTACGCTTTCCTGTCCCGTAATTTTCAAAAAGGAACGAGGGAACTTTTTGCCTGTTACGGAAAAACGAGAAAACGTGGAAGTTCCATCGCTTTGACAATGGGATGTACCGGAGGAGACGCACCGACGCGTCGCGACAATACTCCGAACGCTAATCTTCCTCGCAGTTCTTTTGGTCGGACTAGTTCTGACCAATATGGTGCATGAATCGCTCTCAAGTTCACCCGACAAACTACGCGCGAAAAAAGCATCTGATTTGCGCGACGAAACTTTTCCGGTCCGGAAAATATTTCGCGCGGAGGCATTGTTCGAACTTCGTTCGTCGAACATCCTCGTTTTACAATTTACTCGTCTTCGACGTAGTTCGCGTGTTCTCGCATCGATCAGTCATCAATGTATGAACCATCAAAATAAACTCGTGCCAAAAGTTCGTGACATCATTTTCTCGTTAAAATCGTAACTCTGAATCGAATCCGAAGCGATCGAATCGACAAACTGAAAAACACGGTTTGTCGCGAACACGAGAGTAGAGAGATAAAAATATTTGAAGAGAGTAATCGTTTTACAAACGGGAACGAAATACTCCAAGTATCGCGTTTAGAAACGGAAATGACTTTTTCCACAATCGCGGACAACGTTGAATTGGTTTCGATTGTTCGACGGAACAAAAGTATCGCTTCTTTTCCAGAGTATCGTCTTCGTAGAAACTAGAAGCTTTCCGAGTATCGATCAACAAGACTACTCGCTTCGTAAGACACGGTAATTTTGTCGAACCAACAGAGATTCAAACTCTTTTATGCAAACTGTAACAACGAACGATTGCCGGAAGAAACGATAACATTCCCGTGTAGTCCGCGTCAGCTGTTCGCTATTTGCAGCGATATCGTTCGATGATAAAGCGTGTTGATTCGAGGCTACGAGTTTTTCTCCACATTTTATGGTGTTTCCATTCTCTCTCCTGTGTCTTTTCCATTTGCGAACAGGTCCCATCAGCGCGGTTATTAATCGGTACTTACGTTCGTTATTTTCTCGCGTTCTCGGACTTCCATTCATATTCTCGCGCAAACAGAACTGGAACAGCTTCGAATAGTTTTCGTGACTGACTTTGACGATTCCGGATACTTTGAGAAAGAGTAACGCTCGCGATAGAGAAGACGCGCGGCACGATAGCAATTTGGTTAATCGTTATCTTAGTCCGTTCGGTGGCGGAGCGCGTGGTACAAATAAGACGGTTATCGCGAAGACACGAGTACTTACTCGTGAGAATCATGTTCGCGTGCACGGACGATTCGTCGAATTAATATGCGAGATAGCAACGGCTCATTTCCGAGTATAAATGCAAATTTAAACTCGCGAGCAACGAAATTGCTTTACATCTAAACTGTATAAGCTGCTCGGGTCTATCGTTTGCAATTGTCTGGAAACGAAGCAAAGCCGTAGAAATCGAATTTGTTCTTCGCACAATTCAATCAAGGTGTTTTACGACACCGGTAATAAAATGCTTTTCGATCGCTTCGTCGTTAAGTCGAGAGTCGCAAACGTTATTAAATTTAGAAAATTGAGAAAAAGATTAATATTGATCCGTGCGGGAAGAAGATCCACGTACGCTATTAGGTGGAATGAAAGTGAAAGATTAGGTCGAAAGACTTGCACGTTCGATCGACTTCAATTTCGTTCCTTTCTCGTTTCCCTGGCATTCCCCTCTTCATCCGAACGGCGCGGCGATATATCTCGTTCGTTCCTTCCCTCTTTTCTCTTCCTCTTTCTCTTCTCAAATCATGCGACTGTTATCTGCTTTTTTTGCTTCCTCCGTACACTGTCCGAAAGGGTAGAGAGTTCAAAGCCGAGTATGTAACCGGTTGATTCCGGTCCATCAGCTTCTCTCGATTCTCTCTTATCGACGAACGGAGATTTTTTTCCTCGTGGAGATAAGTTTTCGTTGTTTCAGCCGAACTACGATCTCGTTACGGACGATTCGAAAGAGCGTTCGATATACGCGACGGTTATCGCCACTTCATTTCCTCCTCGCGAAAGCGAATCGCACATGTCCAAACCAACCAATTTGTGTGTGTATAAATAACGAAAGTGCATACGGTCGAACGATAACGGATGATGAAATTTATTCGTCGATCAGGGAATCGAATCGTACGCAATCTGAGCAGTTTGTTCGCGAACAAACAATAAAACAGAATAAGACAATCTGTATATAGTTAGAAACTTACCCGTTTATTGTTTATCGGGAATTACGCGATTAACTTATTTTCCATTCGGCATTGAGATAAGATAGCACGAGCCGCTGGGGGTATTTTCTCGTCGACACCGACGCGACAAGATTAGCGAATGTCTTGATAGCCAAAACGAAAAAACACGAGAGGCGAGACGAGAGGCGCGAGACCGACCGTCGTGAGAAGAGATTCGCGTGGACAGGAAGTTGAGAAATTCGTCGGAGAATGTTTAAATCGATACTTTAGATTCGTTCAAAGTTCGACAACACAAATGGAACGTTCGTGGACGCGCAACGTGTCCGATGCTTTGACGAAAAAGAAGTAAAACGAGAGAAGAAGCGGGAGCTCGCGATAACATCGTAATAGTTATTATTATTGCTACATCGGACCCCCAGCAGAAGTTGCATCACGTAACACCAGATGACCCCGAAATGGAAAATATATTTTGCGGTCTGTGCTCGAGTCGTATCTCGCGTGTAATTTTATTTTTATTTGTCTCTGCTAACCAAACTGTAACGATACATAAAAGTGTCGTTTCTTCCTCGGTTATTTTTCATGGTACAAACGATCGTTGACTGGTTCCGCGATTTAATCGGGAAAGTACCAGCGATCGATTCGGCGGACCAACAATTCGGAGCAACTTCTGCGTCGCGACGGCACGTTGCAAAGTCGTAACTCGTAAAAAATATCGAGAGAACCGAAACGAGGGAAATCATCCATGCAACGACGATAACAAATGTCTTGTTAAATTTCCGCTTCGTTACGTCGAGGCGTTTAATAAATAAAAAGGAGCGTCGGTTGACGCTCGTTTCGCTCTCGACTAGCGTCGCGCGAGTGGGGACGCCTCTATAAGAAGATAAATCAACGACCAGCAGACAGTTTACGGTTGGATCGCTGTTCGGAGCAGTAGAGGAAAAGGTGACTCCATATAGATTTGGCCCACACCCACGCATTTTCACGTTTTCACTCGGCCGAACGACATTCGCACGAGGTACGTCCAAATCGACAGGTGGTATTTTTTCAATTGGCAACCACCGCGCATCTGGTACTTAAATTTTGAATCTCTCAAATTTGCGTTATCCATGTTGGTCTCGTCTAGTTTAATATTCCTGTTTACAAGTTTATTGTAATACACGCGTGTTATTGTTCGATGGGTACGACTCGCAAGAAACGAAAGTAAATAGCATCGGTTGGTACGCAACGCGCAGTTCACGAATTCGAGCCCGGTTTTACGTTGCCAGCCGTGTAGATCTGCTTCGTCTAAACGTTTCATTCGAAGATTCCATTGTCTGTTCAAGGATACCATGTCGACCAGCTTCGGAAGCGTTCTTATAAGCGATCCCGTGCACGCGTGTTGCGGCGAATTGCTCGCTCGCTACGGCATTCCAGTCACGACCAAACACAAGCTGTCCAAAGAGGAGCTGATCAGAGAACTGCAGGTAACTGTCCGGTAATGAAAAAACAGACCGAATCTATCAAAGTTTGCAACGCGACTTCCCGAAGCGATTATCCTATGTCTGCTCCAACTTTTCCACTTCTCTTTCACTCGGCCGCGTATCTCTCGCGTCTCTTTCCCTGCCTATGCAGTCTCGACTAATTGCAGTTCGCGTTCCAGAAGTCTAGCCGGTTAGAGCCAGTTCCATCGGCGAACGCGAATACCGGTTAGGTGGACGGGTCGTTGTACTTATCGGCCGGTTTCTCCCTTCCTGACGAACCTGCGAATTTTTCTGCGACCACAAACGCGCATCGCCTATCGGTTATTGTCTATAGTATGCAGCCTATAATTCGCGCGTACACGTTTTACTTTTATTGTTTAAACAGAATCACGATGCCCTGATTGTTCGATCAGAAACGAAAGTGAACAGCGAGGTTTTCGCCTGCTGCCCGAAACTTCGCGTCGTCGGCCGTGCTGGAACCGGCGTGGATAACATAGATCTCGAAGCTGCTACGCGGAATGGTGTCATCGTGTTAAAGTAGGTCCGCTGGTTTGCGTGTGATTTGAAAATATAATGAGAACCCCTGTAATGTACCCTTCCGGAGGACAGGGAATAAACTGATCGAGAAATGATCGAACGTTTGAACGTACACTTTCAGCACTCCTGGTGGAAACAGTATCAGCGCTTGCGAACTAACGTGCGCGTTGATCTCTGCGTTGGCTCGTAACGTCGCTCAAGCGGCTCAGTCGTTGAAGGAAGGACGATGGGACAGAAAACTGTACTCCGGTTTCGAGTTGTCCGAAAAGACGCTCGCTGTTCTCGGAATGGGTCGTATCGGCCGCGAGGTAACTAAAAGAATGCAGGCGTTCGGTATGCGAGTGCTCGCGTTCGATCCACTCTTGACCCCCGAAGACGCGAACCAACTCGGCGTAGAAAAACTTTCGCTAGAGGAGATATGGCCATTAGCGGATTACATCACAGTGCATACACCGCTTATTCCTCAAACGAGAAGTATAAAACTTTGTTTTCGCGCGATCAAGTCTCATCGACGCGACCCGACTACCGCCCCTTTCCCGTTACAGATCTGATCAACGCGTCAACTCTGGCGAAATGTAAGAAGGGCGTACGCGTGATAAATGTGGCGCGAGGTGGTATCGTGGACGAGCAGGCGCTTTTAGACGCGTTGAAGACTGGTCAATGCGCCGGTGCCGCTTTGGACGTGTTTATCGAAGAGCCGCCAAAAAATCCGGTTACTCTGGAGTTGATTAGACATCCCAACGTCGTCGCTACTCCTCATCTCGGTAAATATTTCCTTACGACTAGATGAATGTTCTTCGAATCATCTAAAACGTTGTGGACCGTTTGTAACAGGAGCGAGCACCGCCGAAGCCCAGCAACGAGTCGCCGTCGAGATAGCTCAACAATTCGTGGCCCTGGCGGGCAAATCGAGCGAATACGTGGTCACCGGAATCGTAAACGCGCCGATCTTGAGTCAAGCTATGACGGACGAGAACGCGCCATGGATCGAACTGTCGAAGAAGCTGGGTCAACTGGCGGCACGATTGCTAAAAGGAAAACTTAACGTAACTGTTCGCAGTCAAACGATCGGTTATGGGATGCAGGAAAAGACATTCGTTCACACCGCCGTCCTGCTCGGTGTCTTGTCCGGTCAAACCAAGAACGGTTTGAATTTGATCAACGCACCGACACTTGCGCGGGAAACGGGTATCGAGGTTGAAGGAAGTCACGCATCGGCCGAGGGAAAAGCCATTCTCGTCCAAGTAGAGGGGCATCAAATCAAAGGTAATTAAAGCAATGAATTACTCATGTTCTTAGAAATGTACTTCCAGCTTCTTCTGTTCTCTTAACTCGATGCTTTTTTCATCAGGAACTGTACGCGACAACGAGCCTTTGCTTCTCTCGTTGGACGAGACATCGTTCGCGAATGGAATCGCTTTGGGGGATTTCGTTTGTTTGTACAAAGCTAATCGTGTCCAGGATTTGGCACAGATCGTGAACGCTTTCTCTGTAAAAGGCATTAATGTTCGCAACGTGAACGCTAACGGTAATTGGATAATCGTTCAAACGGATCGAGAGACATCTGTGCGAGTCGACGGCATCGAAAGCTTCTAAATTTCGAATATCCTTTTCCTCCCTATATTCAGTATTTCGAAACTCGAAAGCGATTCAATCTTGAACGAGAGCAACGATCATTACTCTCGGATTACATATTATTTATTATTTGGCTCGAAAATACCGAGGAAAATTACATAGATCGTTTGTATTTTTGTCGAGCACAATTCTGTTGCGCTCGCCTCTTATTCAACGTCTTTAGGAATTTTACATACGCGTATAGAAAACTACGAATATACAAAATATATGTATGTATAGGTATTTATATTTTTGTATCGCTAGCACTTGTTAATAAAATATCAAATCACAAAATCCCTGGCACTGTTTCGTTTCTTTCTTCCCTTTTGTTCTTCTAACCGACTGTACAATATGAAATTCTTGCGCAATAATTCTCTCGCGTATTCTCCGAGAAAGAGCAAAACGCTTATATCACAGAAAATACATTTATCGCATCGAAGAAAGAACCGTTTACGTACAAAACTAAAACGATCCAACTGGTCGAAAATCCCAACTGTGCGACGAACATGAGAAAGATCTCGAATTCTGTACATATGTCGTATGATCAGATAATGAAACGTTCAAACGTGGCAAAAGATAATCCCGAAGAACGTTATATTCTATCGTAACTGTCTATGCGACAACAGTTGAAAGTATATGTAATGCCATCCTGTGAAAATAGAAACAGATTATATATGTATTGTATTAAAAAATCATGCTAAGACAATGATTTGTAAAAAGCTTGTAAAACTTACTTTAACAAGAGAAGGAAGTTCTTGCCAAAATTTGTGATTGGGTATCATCTCCCAACCTGTTGCTCCTCTCAGTAACTTTAATGTTATTATTCCACTAATAAAGTATACTCCAGTAAATACAAAAAAGATGATAAGTAGAATGGAACCGACTGAAAGGCCTTTAGGACGTATAGACACTTTGCAAGCGTAAGGAGATTTCAATAGTAAATTCTGCAATAATCAAGCATTCCCCTTTCGTGAAATTAGTGTTTTTCTGATTTTTCAAAATGTTTAAAATACTTACATACTGACCGTTCTTGACATCTGGATCCCTGATCAAATGAGAATTACAGGAATCGCAACAAAATAAGTCTATGGTCGTAGTATTTTTTCCATGACGAAGTATTAGGGAAGGTAATACCTTGTTGGTTCCTCCTTCTATGCTTGTTTCTTCTACAGTACCAAGACTATGAGTTTCATTACCTTGTTGGACACATAACTGAAATTATAATCGGTTAAATGTGAAATGGTGAGAAAACTATTTTTATGATAATTGTGTCTTACAGAAACTCCTTTATTCAGGTTACATTCGCTGTTTGTTACATTTGATAGTGGAGAATTTGTGCACGGATGGAAATAGAAAGTATGATTTTCACTGGTCACCTGTAACGGGCTAAAAAGACATGTCCTCAACTCAAAAAAAGAGTAAAACGTCGAGGTTATGATGGTGGAATATACGCACCTCAATTTCTGAAGCGGTGACAAGTTGTAGCCTTCTCCGTTAGAAAACATACACGAGCAAGGAGTTAACTGTGTACATTCGGAGGCTGTTTGTTTGCAACATAACGTAAAAAACCATATACATACGATCAGATTCCGATCAAAACCAAACATCTTCATTGCGATTGATTTCAAGTTTTGTGCACGATCAAAGAGCTGTAAATTGGTGCATTGTCATAATTAAGGGGTATCATTTAGTCACTCGTGTTCATTTCCTCTCTTCTGTTTCAATTGAATCAATTCAAATATATACTTACCATTTTTAATTCTCCTATGACAATTTTGATCGAAATACGCCTAAAGTATCCTAACCATTTTTAACAACGAACAACAGCGTAAATCAAATTTCTTTTTCGTTTGTCCCAGTGTCGATAAATGTTATCGTCATAAATTTGCACCCTTGCCAAAAGATGTCTCCACTAAATTTTATTTGTGTCTGTAATACCAATTGTTAACAGTTTAAAGGAACGAATTGAATATATAAGGTAAAACGAATCATGCGTAAAAAAACGGAAACTAACGACGTCAGTGAATTAATTTATAGCGATTTTCTTATTCTTGCATCTTACGTTGTTGCGTTGTTATTCGATTCCTACGTAGGAAAGATCGAGTAAAAAATTTTGCGCGTAAGGCGCGAGCACGATCATGCGATTTACAAAAACGTCATCCGTTGCACGAGACCATGATGATCGCTGAATCAAAAGCCCGTGGGTACATAGATGGTTGATACCGATGACGACGATGGCGATAACGACGGTGAGAGTGAACCTCTACGACTGTACGAGCTCCGATACGTGTGACATCACGCTTCATTGTTGGAGGTTTACGTCATTCTCGAGTCTGATGTTGAGTCGATGTGTGCAATCCATACGCTGGTCTATACACACGCATGGACTAGTGGCGGGAAGTAATAGAGACGAGAGAGGCGAAAAACACGCGAATCATCGCTGCGACTGCGCGAAATGTGCACAAACATCGCATTTCTTATTCGATTAGAATTATATATTTTTCTGTAGAAACTTTTGCTTCTACTTACAAACGTGACGAGTCGTGATCAATGCATAACATACAAATTCACGTTAGCAAAGATGCAAAAAAAAATAAATGAACGATAAGAAAGAAAAGGAGAAAGGGTACCCGTGTCGATCGCCGAAGGAGTGAGGGTAACTAAGAAAGATAGGAGACCGAGCGAATAAACGAGAGAAAAAGAGAGAGAGAGGGAGAGAGAGAGAGAAAAGAGAGGGAGAGAGAAGGTCCAAGAGATAGGAAAGGACAAGGATATGAAGCGCGACGTTCAACGGTAGTAGCGCTGATTTGTGATTTCATCGATGGTTACCGATTTCGAGAGAACAACTCGACGCGAATCGAACGTGGTGCGCTTTCGTATAAGCAAATACTTTTCGCGCGTACAAAATCACGCGTGATTTCACTGGTGTCGGAGAAATTTTGACAAATATGTAATTTGTTTGTGATCCGTTTACAGCAGTATCTCTTCGACGACGCGTTCTTACATTTTAAATATAACGGTGTATAAATAAGTATGAGCAATAGCGGGAATGCACGAGCGAAGTTCTCGCCGTTGATTTTTACAAAGGATTTGAGTTTGATCAATGCATTTTTTATTCATGCTTAAAACTTGTAAATGAATGCGCATCAAACGCAGTCTGAATCGATGATTTTCTCCTCAAAGTTTACCACATATGTTTTTCGTGCGTGGGCATGCAGTACCGAACTATCGTCAAGGTTAGTGTGTCTGACAGGCTCTCCATCGCTTCGTGATCTTACGTTGCTTTTCAGTGGGTAGCAATGAGTAGCGGTGAGTAGTTGTAATACATAATTAAATAGCGTATTTTAACGTACGTATCTCTTAATAACAATACTACGTTTTAAATCATTTGGTTTGTATGCTTCATGCTTGCGCGTCGTGGTTCTTGCTCCTCCTACTTGTTGTTACCAAAAAATATATGTGTTTAACGCGAATCTAATTATTTCTTAGTTTTTATCGACGCTTGTTTCTCGTTTTTTCGTTTAACAGATTTTGACACCGCTAATCAGTGATGGCAGTATTGCTACGACGACACAATTTACTCTGTATTCGTAAAATGATGCGTATAAAAACATTTTTTTCCTTCAAACAGGAAAATTCAAACTACTTCTCGATTGGACGATTAAAAGATAAATATATTGGAAGAATAGAAGTTCCCCGTATAACGCGTTACCGTTCAAACGATGAGGACTTCTCGTGTATCTATTGAAATACATGTCGACAAATATCGACTAAATCTATGTAAGTATACGATTATCATGTAAAGTATAAATTGTGCAATTGAGATTTTCTTTCATTCTATGTAATTATATTTTTTCAGGCAAAAAAAGCATACGTAATGTTGTCGCTTGCAAACTGGATACAAATGTACAAAGAGTGGCGACTTGCTGAAGGTCTTACGATTATTGATTTCTATGCTTATATGATGCTTCAAGAATTTTATATGTTTATCATTGAATTGGCACTGTTGTGCGACAAAGGGTAAGAGGATGAACGATACTACTTTAGTCATACATCCAGTAATACTTCAGAGATACAAACTGATTAGATGATTGTTTCTTATCGTTGTAAATGTGTTGAAATACATTGTATGTTGGATGTGTCACGAGACAAACGAATGTGCACGTGTTACAGGCACGAAGTAACAAACAACCGGTTATAGTTAACCGTGACAAAGATACTTAATCAACGATGCAACGTAACGTGCTATTCCTTGTTGCAAAAGGATTTGATATTTGGAAGTACGCGTCATAATACCCAGTGATAAGTGTTTTTAGGGTTAATCTGGAGTAGCTTAACATTAACGTTACCACACTCTAACCAAAGTCGATTTATTTATCTGTTGAACCTTCTTCCGTTGGGTCTGCTGAAATTAACAGTTTTGAAATGTTTGAAAAAAAAAATATTTATATCGAATCCTATTGCAAATTAATTGAAAATTGGCTGGAACAGTTTGAGTGTGATAATACATTGTTGTAGAAAAAAGTTTTCTCATTTATGATCGGCTGGTGGGACGTATGCTTCATTCCAGAACAGCCGTTTCTATGAGCGCCTCTCGTCCGTTACACTGTGATGGAAAGGATAATAACAGCAAAACTGGTTCGAGTGAGTGCTATTATCATTTAGGCGCGTATACGTAATTCTATGTAAATCGATATACGTTTACGATCTATATTTTTAATCGTATACTTCATAGATAGAATGGCATATGAGGTATTTCTGGGTGGATCTTGTAATCCAACCACATGGAGGTCAGAAATAGCGATACCGACTCTTCAGAGCCTCGGAATTACTTACTACAATCCCGTGCGTGTTTATTAATATTCGTTGGATTCGTGCATCAAAGGACAGTCGTCGTTAGTACAATTGCAATTATGCGTTTTAGCAAGTGTCGCAATGGGGACCGGAACTGATAGCTCAAGAATACGAAGCAAAACAAACGGCGAAAGTACTACTGTTCGTAATCGATAATCAGACACGCAATAGTGCAGGCATCATCGAAGCAGCTCAGCTGGCAGCTACCCGCCGCGAGTCATTGATCGTTGTTATTTATCCGTATCGTCAGGGACAAACGATACTCGGCGAAACCGTGTCTATTCAGTAAGTGTTGTTTTTTTCTGTCTCCTCCTTGGACACTGGCAGCCTTTATCACACAATCCGACAAATACTATCATATTCTTACTTAGAGAATATTACGATCTGATGAATGGGTTACTGGTACTTCAATATCTTATGGAGAGACAGAGGATACCGATATTTGAAAGCGTATCGGTTGCTCTTAATTGTACGTCTAAGGTAATCAAATTTGATAAAGAGTAAAAGTAAGAAATTACTGATCATAGAGATCACGCTTCGCGTGTTACGGTAGTTTTCTAACGGAAAGGTGATATTTTATCGTAGGTACTGCGCGAGGAGATAAATGTGCAAGACTTGCATTCCGAAGATGGCATTAGACCAATTAAATTGTCATTCGGTCAAAATGGAATTGACACGGTGTAAGCTTTTTTTTTTCAATCGAATAGTTGTATATACGTAACAATTGTATTAAACAAGAAAGAAAGAAAGAAAGGAAAGACGAAGGCGAACGTCCAGTTTTAACCTACTGTTTTTGTAGTACGCTCAGGGAGATATTCAAATCTGTGGATACAAACGACAGTGGAAGCATTAACTTGGAAGAAGTAAGTTTCCTTCACTAGAATTACCGTAACGCGTGACGCTTGTTCGATGTTATGATTTCTTGTGTCGTTTCGTAGGCTTGGATAGCGTTACAATCGAACGTGAAGTGCAACGTATCGGTGTCGGATTTTCTTAACATCGTGAATAAATCCGGTAATAAAGTTTGTATGATTTGTCGGTAAAAAATTACGATATTAGCAAGTAACTCGTTAAAGAGAAAATTTGTTGGTATCTTGTATCGTTGGTGTTCGCGTGTATTTTTAGAAACGTATAGGACGCTGATAGACGATGGGTTTCGAACAAAGAGAGATCCGGCGGAATTACGGATAAACTTTGAACAATTTTGCACCCTAGCCGCCGAATCAGCGTGGAGGACGAAAAGCAACGGCGTCTCTTGTGAAAGTGAGATACCTTCAGTTTGGAGTATATTATGTAGGAAGGCTTCGAAATTTCTTCGCAGAGCTATCGTACAACCTTTTAACCGTTTCCTAGGTATTTTTCATTTTCAAAAATTTCCCATGATCTCTGTAGCGTGTATCGTTAACGCGCGCGAAAGCGAACAGGTCGTCTCACGGGACGCTCGTGCCTCGATAAATTTGTAGTCGAAAGCATTCGAGCAATCGTGTACGATTCGTTCGAACGTTCAACTTTTTAGATTGGACCAATTCGTTCGTGCCCGAGTCCGAGAAGAGGGACTTGTACGTGGGAGTAATCGGTAAAGATCAGTTTTGGTTAGAAACGAACGCAGCACCCTCGATCGAGTGAGCATTCGAGATGTAACGTTCTTTCGATTTTCGTTATTGCGGCAATATCGTCGAGTTTACGCGTAAATTATTTCATTTTTTAGATCCATGGGGTTGTCTCTGTACCGATCAAGTGCGAACGAGTACAACGTAAAGACATTACCACAGGAATTGCAAAAGATGAAAAATTCACGGTTAATATTTTTGATCGTACCGCAGCATTCTCGCGGCATCACCATAATGGCATTGGCAGCTCATTTGATTGGATTACGCGCAAAATTAGTCCTATGCGTTCAAACGCTTCCCGAAGGTTGCGTAGTTTCTGGTGAAAAGGTGAGCGTGTTTCTCTTCTCGCTGTATTAGAATAGCGCGTAGGTGTGTTCCGTTCCCTCTTTGCTCTTCGCCTTCTTATTTTTTCTTATTCCCCACCTATCTACCATTTATCATGTACCGTCCACCATTTACTTCCTGCCCGGTTCCATTCACTCGCTTGCATCTTTTTTCATTCGATGACGTGTAGCATGCGTCTATCTATATTTATAAAATCACGTCTCCATTTAGTTGACCGAACAAGCCACGAAAGACTACAATCGGGGAAGAATGTACCTGTCGGACTATGCGACGCGCGAAGGTGTACCTGTTTTTCAGAATATCGCTGAAGCTTTGCAACACGCGATACAGCTAGTTCAACGCGTTCGTTGATGTCTCTTCTTGTTCTTCTTTTTCTATTTTTTCATACGAGTAAGCTTTTCGAATGATCGATTAATTTATTTTTACCGTTGCGATGATGTTCAACTACTGATTGGGATGATCGAGACGCGAAACGATTGCACGAGAAACGACAATTTACGATAACTAACGAGCTTTTGTACGAATTTTCAAGTTTAATAACTAATAGTATTTCTTTATCGCGGATCAGTAAAATCTCGTACAACGTAGGAATAATAAAAGCACGCGTACAACGATTCTAGAAACAATTAGACTTGTTTCATCGTAGTACAAAACGTTTCGTTCGTATCGTAGAGCTACGATCAGTTGGCTACGAGTCGCGTACCAAACATTGTAAATTTTATGAAAAATCCTACGGTGGTTGAACATACCTGATTATTTTTTATATATTTTTTTTTTTTTATAGCGATTCAACTCGATAGTTATTTTGTAACCTTTGGTAACTGGTTGAGGATTGATATACGTGTACTGTATATAGACTATTAGTTGTTTCTAACGATCTAATGAATAGTTAATTTGAACTTTGATAGGAAGAATGCACGAGAATGAATGTCAGAGTTTTATCGCATAAAATGTAAGCGTGTATGTTTGTGTACAGACACGTACCTGTTTAAGAACAGACATCTTATCTAGCATTAATTTACTGTGCTGTACGTTGTGACGTCTAACACGGATACATACGTTATTCGTGAACAACAAACGTTACGAGAAAATTGTAATTTTCAACGCGCATGTATGTACGACGAAGATGCAGGAACAGCAAAAACAAAGTGTATATAATTCCTGTTACAGTCATTTGGCGCTCAATCGGTTAGAATCGACTTTAACTGGCTCAATGTATTATTTTTTTGTTTCTGTCCATACATCCCTCTCCCTCATCCTTGCTCTCAGCACTCTCTCACATTTTTAGAAACATTTTTCTCGAAAAATAAAAAAAAGAATACTGTTTTTATTCATATCGTACGTTCGTTTCAACAAAGGCGCGCGTCGAACAAAAAAGTGAAACGAACAGAATAAATTTGCCAAGAATCGAAACGACGCGGTTTCACTTTGGCGCGGCATCGGTCCTTTTAACGAAATAATAACGATATATGTTTTTTAAAGAAAGCAACACTGGTATCATAGCCGGCAGAAATAGTGGTACGTATACAGCGTATCTGAAATCAGAGAGGAAACACGAGATAACAATTTTGAAATGCAAGACAAAATAAAATTGTAAATGTATCGATCGCCTGTCACTTTTTTTTCTCTACGAATCCTTACTTTTGATCCTCGGGAAAGTAGAGCAAAGCTAAGAGCGTGGGATCCGAAAATGCCGCCTCTGCGGTGACGAACGCTTCTTTGCTCGACAGAAAGGCTCGAGTTAGGTCTCCGTATGCCAACTGTTCGGTAGAGGTCTCCACCAATTGTAGAGCAGTGTTTATCCTGTTCCCTACGACGTCCGTGATGACAATATTACCGATCTCCTTAAGAAGTTGAGCAAGCGATTGTAAAGTCAATTTGGCGGAAGTCAATTGTTCAACCGTACGGACACGTAGCAAAGCATCGATCTCCCAGTCGCGTGGTTTCAATCCCACCAACGGAACGGTAGTTACACCGTTTATGGATTTCTAAAAAGAAAGGAAAAAACGCGTGACAGTGGGTGAACAAGAAAAGAAATGGGCAAGAGTCGTAACTCGATCGGTAACAGCTTCGGATTACCGGTTCAGAAACGCCTAGAAGAAGCTTCAGTTGGGCCAGGAAGGTTCCGACGACAGTAGTCTCTTCGGGAACAATGGTAGCGACCGATCCGTTGTTTTTTGCAGCCACACATGCTTCGATGGGTGGATTGATCAAGACGAAGCCACCCCACCTGTAGACGGACGCGAACGATCTAAATTCTCATCACGATTTTGTCACGCGCGCTCGCTTTCGCTTTTATTTCGGTGCTTTAACAGGCGTATTACCTTGGCGAAAGAAACGCTTCGATGTTGGCGTTGGATTTCGATCTGTGACCTAAACGCGTGTAAATATGCAGCGGGGCAGTGTCACAGGGAACAGCATAGATTACGAAATTGATGGTTGGACCGAGACTAACTTGCGAGGCTGAAATATACGCGTCTCCGTTATTTTCTACTACTCTAATTGTGGAACAGAGAGAGGTTGCGCGTGTACAATCTAACGTACCTAACTTCTTTTCCAATGGTGTGACTAGTTGCGACAACACGTCTTCCGGTAGCGCGAAATGCCTTCCTAACGGGCCACTGTCGGGTACTCGCTTCGGATTAACGTCCAACGGAAGAAAGTACAGCCACTGTGATTTCACGGAGAAGTTGGTAAAAATTGAAAATTCATCAAGGAACGGTTCCACGTATTCTAACGAAACCAGAAGAAAATACAACAGCTTGACACGCGTTAGAAAAAAACAGGGGGTAATATTTATTTACTCACCCTCGGTCATCGCACGAAGATCCCATGTGATCTTTAATTTTTCTGGATCGGGATTAACGAGCGTGATTAATATATCGTAGGTAGGACTAGCAGGAAATCTTCTTCTGTTTTCGTTATCTAGGCTGTATCGAGTCGGGTCGGTGAGCGCATTTTTCGTTAAATTCAACGACTTTTCGAGTAACATCCATTCCGACAATACACGGATCAAAGTAGAGCCGACTGTAATAAAAGCGAATTTAAGCGTGGCTAATTAAAGGCCTCGTGAAAAGAACCAGTCGCGTGCTTACCAGTTTCCGTGGAAAAGTAGATGGTTCTCTTCGACCCGACAAGAACCGCATCGTTCAAATTATTTGTTTCCAAGAGTAAAAGTTGGCCAACTTCGAGATCGAAAGTGGAAGCTATCTTTTCCAGTTCGTGATGCGTAAACGCCGTTGCCATTAAACTGCTGGATATAGTCCGGTGTTCCACTCGTATTCGATACACGTCTAAAAGAACGAAAAGATTTCAAGTAGCCGATCGAAATGGAAAGCATTTTTTGTTTCTACTCACCGACATCTCGAAACGCTTCCTCTATATCGCGAGTCAACGATTCGGCTCGCTCTTCGGAAAGCGTTACCACCAATAGTTTCGTTTGGATTTCGAGCCGTAGATCCGAAAGTCGCTCGATTCCAGCGTAGGGAAGCGAAACACGCGGTACCGTGGTGGTGTGCCACCAAAGAGGAACTCCGATGCCTAGCAGCAGTACGGCGAAAGACACGCTCGCATAAATCCTGTACTTCTCTGAAAATGATACAACAAATGTTTAAACTCGAACGGCGATCGCAGTCGTCTCGACAAGTCGCGGTAGCGAGTGTTCGCCGCAACGTGCGCATACGCTTGCAGGTATGAAGTTGGGATAGGCAACCTTGAAAGAAAAATTGAACCGAGTCCAAAACGTGCCGTAGTATGAGTCGGTTCATTAGCGTATATCAAACGCAACAAATTTGTTAAACATAATGATTTATGGTAATCGGCGTTTGATTAGCAGAACGATATCGCAGCATTTTACAGATTACTACATCCATATCGAATACCTTTGTTTCTGATCCATGGTAAAATGGAAAAAACGCAGAACGTTCGTTCGCCAACCGATTCCGAAGTTGGTTCTGTCCATTCGCGTACAATCGTGATAAGAAAGTAAACTCTTAATAAACTAGATACATTGTTCAAATTTCCGTCGTCAGAATAGGGAAATTTATTCTTAGATATTTGAATTGCCATTTAGGAGCGTGTTTAAGGAGACATTTGATATTCCACCTTGACATACTATTTGTGCATTTCGCCAAAGAATTAAGACAGTCGCTACAAAAACGATTTCGGTATTCTTGTTTCGCGTTCCTCAGGAAGACAAAAGAACTGGTTTCCGGAATTTTCCTGTATCGTTTATCGAATTGAAAAGATGAGCTAGAGCCGGGCCCAATCGCGTGACTCACCCTGTATTTTCTTCGACTGTGTACAATGTCCTCCCCGTACAATAACGCGTCACGTAATAAACACGAGGACAAACGGTAGCGTGAGCAGGATTAATTACCCAATTAAATTGATTTAAACGCCACGCGTATTCTATTTTACTTCGTTAAAACGTAGACGTGGTATCGGGGGCTAAGAATTCGGCTCGATTCGATACGTTCGTCTGAACGATGAACTAACGATGCGACAAACATGTAAGGCACGCATCGCGTCGAACCGAATGCTGGTCGGAGTGTACGGGGCTCGGTAACTCCCTGACTCTGACCTAGAGTAATCGGTATCCGTTCTACTATTGGAAACGCGCGACGAGTTTTCTCGAATCATGCTCTTTACGGTGTTCGAAAAGCAAAAGAGATCTCTCGCGAACCGCTTACCGACCGCTTTCCCGATGTTCTGTTTCTTCGAGAATCGAAAGATCGTAGGTACCACGATACCACGTGGTCGATCGGTAGTTTACACACTCTTGAATCAGCCCGTTACAAGAACATCGACGTATCAAGGTCGAGGGACGGGGAATGACACGTTCGTATGTCGTTAGCCAACTGCTCCATTCGGTTCACTCGCTAGTCGTCGGGAATCAGTCAAACGGGTACAGAAGACGGACCTCTTCTATACGAGCACGACAGGATAATAAGAAAACCGGCAAAAAAGCAGGTGCAGAAGGTGGAGGTGGAAAAAGAAGAAGAGCAGGAAGAAGAAGTCGAGGACGAAGACGAAAACGAGGAGAAAAAAAGAAGAAAAAGAAAAGAAGCAGAAGCAGTGAGGGAGAGAGAGAAAAAGGAGAGAGAAAGAGAAGAAAGAGAAGGAGAGACAAAGAAAGAAAGAACACTGGAAGAGAGGGGTAATAGCTCAATCGCGAGAGGCTCGACTCCCTACATGCCTTTCAGCGAAACGAGCAACGCTGCTGAAGAGTGCGTGTATTAACCAAAAGTGGGAATCAATTTGGTAGATTCGACAGTAATTTCGATTCTGTCTTGGCGATCCAGATTCGGGACACTGCACGACAGAACGCGCGAAGAACAACGACTTCCCGGAAGAGTTACGGTAACTGAATCTCACATGGTTGACTCGACTCGATTCGACTCGACCCGGCTTGAACTTAAAAATTTGAATTTGCGCGTTCGAACGTACGCATTTTATTCGTCTAAGCACGCAACGATAATTCGATCGGTTTCAATTGGTACCGGCTGCGCGTTCGTTGGTTCGATTATACGGTGCAAAGATCGAAAACACCGATCGATCTCGTTTCTATTACTCGTCCGTGCAACGAGTAAATCCTGGTACGCGTAAACCTGGTTGACGTTTCTGATGTTTTCGCCGGGCGGTAAAATTACAATGGTAACTCGAGCAAAGATATTTCGAACGTCAACTTATTCGTGCTAGATTTGAATGTTGACCTTTACCGTTTTCGAACCGTATCGTCAAATTTATCAGATCCGACATCTCCATCTGACCTTTCAACTATGATACCTAATAAGACAAGCAACTAGAGTACGTTGTTCCCAAGAAAAAGAAAACGAAAAAGCAAATAAGGAAAACGGCGTGCCGCGCCGATTATCCGTCGACCGTTGATTTATCGCGTTCGTTCGTATCTGAGCACCGTGCTATGGTACTCTATCTCGTTCCGTGATCGGAATAATTGCCACAGATATTTACAAATTGATGCGTACACGACAACATTTGAGTACTGCTTAAATGGTTAACTACCATAAGGCGTCGTAAATGTAAACAGCGGTAAACTGAACGATACGCGTGTAGCAGGTTTCGAGTAAATACGTCGTGAAACGCCACGCGGCAGCAGGGTTACGCGACCTAGCCCGCTATGAGACCTTCGAGGTCAATCTTGTTCGGTAGCTTAGCGAAATTGCTTAGCCGGTAATCTGAGCAGCCGGGACAAAAGGAACGACGAAGAGGGTACGGAACGATACGGCACGACACGGTACGATGCAACGCAGATGAGGACCGGAACGCAAACGGAGGAAGCAACGAGACGCGAGTCGCGTGACTCCGCATCGACGATTTAACCGCGGAAACGATACGCGTTCATCTTTGATTGTCGAATATCCTCCATCTTCGTTGAGGACGTGCGCTGCCGTTTGTGTCCGACTTCCACGATTCTATCAGCGATAGTTTGTCGCCAATAGATACGTACTACTTTGCTTGTCAGACGATAGACTTTTCGCTTCCCTTTCTAGGCGAGATTCTTCGGAATCGGGAAGGAGAGATGTCCAACCGCCAGCCGGACGATCCATATCCGGAAATCATCGAGCCGCCAGGCAGAAGGTACGCGTCTCTCGTTCGAGAGAATCAAGCATCCAATTGGTCCGCGCTTTCGCCTAAACTCGTTGCACTTTATTATTGCTCTTCGCGTTCTTTTTCTTCCTTCTTCTTTCTCCCTGCTAATTGTCCCGCGTCTCAATGAAAAGAAATACAGTTGACGCGTGCGTTGATCTTTTCTCGGTGTTGGATGTTTCAGAAGGACCGACAGTTTCGGCAAACTGTTGGTTCGATTTCTCTCGATTTACTGGAGATCGTTCGTGATCGTGTTATGGCCGCTGATTCTGTTACCTCTCGTCATCGTCGTCGAAAGTACCGAGGTTCGTTAATACAATACTCTATTACTTTTTTCTGTTCCTCCTTACTTTTGTCTTCCTTCTGCGTATCTGTCCGAATGTACATCTTCCATCCGCCACTTATCTTTTTCCCTCTCGATTCTTAATCACTTTCTTTGTTGCTGCAATTTTCTGCTTGTACGCTATATTTCGCAAAGCGAAAAAGAATACGTATCGATTGAATGCAGGCGATAGCGATGCGGTGTCTGTACGTGGTCGGTTTAATGGCAGTGTTCTGGATGACCGAGGTGCTTCCGTTACCGATCACAGGTTTGATCCCCATCGTACTCTATCCACTGATGGGTATAATGAGCACCAGTGACACTTGCGCTTGCTACATGAACGACACCACGATGATGTTTATCGGTAGCATGGTGATCGCGATCGTCATTGAAAATTCTGGCCTGCATATGCGTATAGCGCTGCTGATCATTAAAACGATCGGTTGCAGTCATCGAAGGTAATTCCGCGGAACACTAGAATCCGTTTCTAATCATTCCTTGATCATTTCATCGTCTCTTCGTTTCATCGTTTATACGCCACGCCATGCCATGCACTGCGAAATATTTTCTATAAACGCGTACATAGCAAATACTTGATATCATCGTATGAAAACATACCTGTTAATACAAGCGAATCGCCGATAAGATGTATTTATGGTTCGTAGATTAACTCTGGGCCTGTTCTTTGTCACCATGTTCCTGTCGATGTGGATTTCGAATACTGCCGCTACCGCCATGATGTTGCCTATCGTTGAGACTGTTCTCCTGGAACTGGAAGCGGTAAGCGATATACTATTATGTAGCCTCGTCCACTCGCACAGGAAGAAAAACCTTGTCACGCTTTCGTCTTCGTATTTCCAGCAAGGCTTGGGTAATATGTTCATCTGTGAGGAGAACGGTTGCGGGGAAGAGAGTACAGAACAGTACGTAACCGTAAAATTGCTTGTCTCTGTTCTTGCCTTCTTTATATCGTCTTTTTTTTAACTGTCTGTTTACAGCGGTAAAAGGCCAACTAACGTCACAATGGTGTACTATCTTGTGGCAGCGTATGCTTCTAGCCTCGGAGGTGTGGGCACGTTGGTCGGGTCCGGAACCAATTTGACGTTAAAAGGATTTTTTGAGAAGTAAGGGTACCCGAAAGATATCTCCCCAACATGGACTAATAGCGGATAAATCAAATTCGACTGAATTCTTTTACTCTAGGCGGTTCCCAAACAGTCCAGGCATCAGTCTGACATCGTGGATGGTTTACTCGGTTCCACCTATGCTCTTGATGAGTTTTCTTACTTGGATGTGGCTTCAGATCATGTACATGGGAATGTTTAGACCACGAAGCAAAGATGCACTTGCCATCGATATCGGTACACAAGGTGAAAAGGTCGCAGCCGCTGTGATCGAGAAAAAATATAAAGAACTCGGCTCTATTACATGGCACGAATCCGTCGTCGGGTTCCTTTTCGTTACCGTCGTGTTACTTTGGTTCCTCAGAAACCCTGGATTTGTTCGAGGTTGGCCAACTTACATCACTAATTTGTACGTATCGCGTTTTCTCCATCTTTCCTCCTTGCGTTACTCTCTTCTGCGTCGATACGCGACTATACATTTAGATAGTATTAAGCAACAACACGAAAGTATTCTGTATTTTGTTCAGACAAGTTAAAGATTCAACGGCGGCTGCTTTCGCGGTGCTTCTCTTCTTCATTTTGCCATCCAAACTCGATTTTCTTCGGTCATTCGATTCGGATCCTGCCAATCGCCCTACCAAACCCTCACCCAGTATGATTACTTGGAAGCTGATACATCAAAAGATGCACTGGAGTTTGATCTTGGTACTGGGCGGTGGATTCGCTATCTCGGCAGGCAGTACCACTTCCAAACTATCTACCATAATTGGAAACTCTTTGACCGGCTTGAAATCGATAAACCCATTTACGATACTATTTATCGTTTGTGTATTTGCGGAAACCGCGACGGAACTGACCTCTAATGTTGCAGTTGCAAATATCATTTTACCAGTTTTAGCAGAAATGGTAAGAAATTTCGACTTGTATAGTCCATTTTTTATCTTCTTTCTTTCTTTACATGTTATTTTAATTGTTGTTAATCTTTGTTATATCTTGTTTCAGTGTGTTGCCATGCGAATACATCCTTTATACTTGATGCTGCCAGCTTCTCTCTGTTGTTCCTTTTCATTCCACTTGCCAGTTGGTACTCCACCAAACGCGATTGCCACAGCAGCTGGTCATATAAAAACCAGGGATTTTGCCATAGCTGGAATAGGTCCTAGTACCATAACGCTTCTCGTCACGACGCTTGCTTTCTCCACATGGGGTAACTTCGTCTTCAACTTAGACGAATTTCCAGATTGGGCAACATAAAGCACTTGCACGCTTACAAGTTTACATATTCTCATACTTTTTACCTGCGACATGACGCGTTACGAACAAGTTGATATTGCTATATTTATTTAGCACTTGTTAACGCTCTAACATTTTAATAACATTTCGACCAAATAATTATATCGAACGTATTAAATCGGCTGTAAACGTTCCGCTTCGGAAACTTTCCTGGAACGTCGAGCGAATATTTATAGTATTTCGTAATAAAAATTGTGATCAATTATGGAAGATGCAGTTATAAAAAATGAACGAGATAATAAACTGTAACTTACCGTCTATCGCTGTCTCATAACCTATAACGTCCGCTTCTTCCCCCATTTTATACTCGATTTGCTTCTCTCGCAACAAACAGTCCAAACTATCGACTTGGTTTTCTCGGTTTTCTGGTAATGAACACCGATTACTGATAATTGTATGTGCAAATACAGATTGATATGATCAAAGGGAATTCGAGAACATAACCTATTAGAAACCGCATTCGTACGCTTACTTACCACCATTTAGATACGATCACTGTTTGCGCGTCTCTCACTTTTCCTTTTTCTCTACCAATTCTACGTAAGTTCCTATTCAACAAAAAGATATTAATGTGATTTTTCATCGAACTGATCGAGAAATATTATATACATCACTGTGACGTCGTTTGATCGAGAATGACATCTTCAGCGGGTCATTTTTCATTTGACATAATTTCATAATCAGTTTCACGGATAGTGGTCATACATACTGTGTAAGTGAAATATATATATGTGTATATATTGTACTAAAGAATGCACTCACATATATTATACACTTCATTGTCTTTTACATAGAAAATAGTACTGATAAAATGAAGTGCACGAAATATGAACGGAGATTGATAAACAACTCATTTTTTAATTCTTTTTTTATCTGCAAAATTTCTTCTTTCCTTTACATTTTTGAAATTTTTATTTACACGTATATTTTCTACGATACGTAATGAACAAATACCAGATGTACATATAATATGAAATCGTAATAATGCGTAATTTTGAAAATGTCAAATTTCAATAAGTTTGTCCCGTTTTGCCGGAAGTAAACGTGTGCCACCGGAAACCAATCATTGCTCTGTACTTAAATGGCAGACATAATGCATTGTATCGTGTATTGGTTAAGTAGCGATTTGGTTAGAAATTTTTATTAACGATATTCAACGAAAACAACAACGGATTGACAAGGTGCAGTTAGTAGAGTTATATTTTGTTAACCCTTTCAGGTACATATATTTCCACAGATACATGAATTTTAATCAAACACTATTAACATTAAGTGTTTTCGTTCGAACATGAGAATGCATAACAAGGATTAGATATTAATCGAAGAGAATCTAACGAAGCAGTTAATGTTTTTAATTCGTTAAGAAGTTGCGTAAAATTCGGCCTAACCTCGGGATCGGAAGCCCAGCAGGAACACATTATTTTGTATATACACGATGGAACATTATCCGGTTGCTCTAAACGACCGTTCTCATGAATAATGTAACGTAACAAACAATCATTTTGCACGTTCGAGTATGGAAAGGCACCTAAAGTGCTAATTTCCCAAAGTACTATACCATAAGACCATACATCGCTTTTTGAAGAAAAAATTCTATCCCGTAGTGCCTCTGGTGACATCCATCTTATTGGAAGACGACGTGATTTTTCTTCGATATCTTTTATCATGTATATACCATTACGTGAAAGCCCAAAGTCAGAAATCTGAATGTTATTATGTTTTGTTAAGATTTTAATTTATATGGGATAAATTATAAATTATCAGCGTGAACTGGTTTACCTTAGCAGTTAAATCTGTGGTAAGAAGAATATTTCTAGCTGCAAGATCTCTATGAGTAATTCCTTTGACTTCCAAGTGTTCCATAGCCATTGAAATGTCTATAGCAAATTTCAGAAATTGATGTTTTTCTATTTGACCAACCCAATGTTGGTTTATACATTTTGTTTCTTCTTCTTGATTATTAAATATGTTGCTATATTGCCCAAGTTTGTTGGTGTTCTTTTCAATCAATATGTTAGAATACATAGAAGTACATGGTGCTATAAATTAAAGTAATACAATTTATAACAACATAATTCAGTAAAATCTTTAATTGATTCATGTAAAGCTTACCTTCTGAAGTATTTGACTCAAGTAATCCTTCCAAAACATCTTGATTATCTTGAACACTTATATCACACAACTTTTTCTTTTTAAGTGTATGTAAATAAGTTAATAGATCTCCACCTTGCATGTATTCCAATAGAATGCATATTGATCTGTTTGGTTGAATAGAATAACCCAAAAGGCTCACTAAATTTGGATGTGTTCCTGCCCTTCTCATTATTTCAATTTCGTTTATAATCTGTTGCTGGGTTTCTAATTCAGTGGAAACACTAATTGTTTGAGACGTTTTTACGGCTATTAAAACGTTACTATTAGCGTTTAAATAACCAAGATACACTTTTCCAAATTGTCCAGTACCCAATTCACGTATTAATTTTATGCTTTCGAACCGTACTTGTAGTTCATCGATGTCTTCGTATTCGTCGTGTTCTTCGTTTTTCTCCTATGATAATTGACCTAAATTACATACCAACAAATCTTGCTAATTGCTAACATATAAAGTTAATACAAATTTGTACCTTAAATCCATACATATCATATAAAATGTTGTGTTTTTGAAGAATTGTTTCTGTCCATTCAGATCTATGTTTGGAAATTGTACGTATCCTAACAAACGAAAGATGCGGTATGTTCTCTTTAATTTATCAATTTGTTAATTTATTATTTCATTTCTTATTTCAATACTTACCGTGCATTATTTTCATTATCAAATATACAGATTTTAAATTTACGACATAATATCAAATTTAAAACTCCAAATAGAATACAACCGCTTATTACTCCACATAGTATGAACCACTGAAAAAAAACATATTTACCATTACATATTTATTTTAAACGTTTTAATCTTGACTAATCACTTACTATATCGTAACGCACGACAATAGTCTTGTCATTTAGCAACTTAGAATTTATAATGAAACTTCCTGTTTCTCCAAAGCAGCCATAATTATTTACTGCAGTAACCATAACTTTGTAATCATCTTTAACTTTCATATATTCCTCATTCAATTTTAAATTCCATAGGAACACTGTCCTTTCTGCAGGCACTTGTCCTATTTTGTTAATATTATATATAGGCAGTCCTTTTTTCGACGTTAGACGAGGTACACCGATGCTATAAAAGTTTATACAGACATTTAAATAAATAGAAGTAAGTCAATGATATGTGAACTTACATACCTGATTAAATAAAAAGAAACTTCAGAAGTATTAGAATCTACTCTCCAATTTACAATTATCTGCTGTGTTGTTAGAATAACATTTACTTTTGGAATTGGCAGTGTTGATTTGGCTTTAAGACAGCTACATACTCGACCGACGCATTCTGGAACCGTATACAAAATCTAGAAGATTTGAGCGTTTATCTCGTTAATAAAAGTGTAATATATTGCATCTTGTATGTCATTTTGTTTGTACTTACTTCCGGCGAATTTTTCATATGCTTTAATCTCGGATTTGCAATAACTTGTACTTTATAAGTACAACCGGGTTGAATATGTAGATCCGGCATATCCGCAAAGTCATTGTCCTCAGGTAGGAGCACGTTCAATTGCTTATCATTGTTTAATGTATAGAAAATTGATCCTTCCGGACATTCCGCACCTGTTGTTTCTTTGCTTGATATACCTGTGATTATAATGCTATGACACAAACAAATTTGAACAAGGTAAACAAATTATATTGGATCAATTAAAATTTGTTATATCATTTAGTAAACGTTTACCTGTACGAGAGAGTACGTTTGTTATTGTTTGTGGATAACCATGATATGTTTAATTTTAATAGTTTATAAGCATCACTAGTCTCTGTATACCTCTCATCTCGTACAGCTTTCACAGTTAAATTTTGTACAGGTTTAACAAATTCGGTCATGTGTTTCGCGTACAATTGATCACACAAATAAAATAAAACTAATATCGCACATATGAACGGTAATCTACATCGAGTAATCATTTCATGTTTAATTTACAATGCTTTACGTGGCGAAAAATATTTATATATTATTTTTAATCACTAAACTATACGATCCGATGTCGTAATAGTTGAGAAAGCTTTCCTCTTTTAATCAACATGTAACCGGTATGCAAGTACATTTATCTAAGAACCTTTATTTTGCAAAGAACTCGCAAGACTTTCAAGTACGCGATAAGACGATAAGCTTAACTCTTATAAACTGTGACTCTTAATCATTATGTACGTATCGAATATTCCAAGATTTTAATGATACCAACTACAAGCAAGAAGCAGTGCATTAAATTATGTGTAATATATAAGTAACAGAAGAGTAAAAGTAGATGATAATACTGCGATATTTGTAATCTTTATTATCCTTATTTATATCCGCATATATGATGCGTGCAACGTGCAAGATACGAGAAGTATCGGTAAGATGAAATTGTGTCTGTCATGCTACCGTTTATCATTTAATAAGCCAATCACCAGGCGTAGTGAATTTGAGAAAATCGCAAGTGCCAAGAGAATATACGAAAGAAGAATAAAATTAAAGCATAAACGATCAATCCCATAAACATTTTAAGAAAAACAGGTCTGTTTCGTTCGTATGTTGTAGGAAAGAAATGGCCTCGGCTACCATATCACCGACCGAGGATGACGAGTTGACCTTACCTCGTGCATCAATCAATAAAATGATCAAGGAAATTTTGCCACATGTACGCGTAGCGAACGAATCTCGAGAATTGATATTGAATTGCTGCACAGAATTCATTCATTTACTTTCCTCCGAAGCAAATGAAATCTGCAATCAGCAACAAAAGAAAACAATCAATGCTGAACATGTTCTTCAGGCACTTGAAAAACTCGGATTTGGTGATTATAGCGCGGAAGCGGAAGCCGTATTACGAGATTGCAAAGCTGTTGCAGCGAAACGAAGGCGCCAAAGCACTCGACTAGAAAATTTGGGGATTCCAGAGGAGGAGCTACTAAGACAACAACAAGAATTGTTTGCGAAAGCGAGGGAAGAGCAGGCAGTGGCTGAACAGCAGCAGTGGCAACAGCTGCAAGCAGTTGCACAGATGGCTTCCATGCAACAGGCCGATAGTGAACAAGAAGATTACTCCTAAATATATGATGATCGAACGATCGATTTCCCTTATGTGCGTTGATGTGGGAAACCAGTGCTGAACGAGGACATACTATTTTATTTCAGCAAATTTGGGATAATCGAAATATATCAATTTCTTTTCTTTCCCTTCTTTCGATTTATTCAACTTCATACACGTTATTATTTATATTTGTACACTATGTTCAATAATTATAAAAATTATTGCATTCCTATCTTCGTTCTGTGATGTTCCTACACTACGAATATAAATAAATAACAAAATATAATAATTTTTAATGAAAAATATGTTAAAGGAGCATATACATATATGTCATTGTAGTTACCACTTGATGTTAACTGATGTATGTTGAATTATGTACATTATTATCGCTGTAATTAACGATTACGGCATTAATCTTCCATATTCTGAAGAAAGATGGCTCTTTTTAATTGCTTCCATTACTCTGGAAACGTAATGATACCTAAACAAGGCAAATATAATTATCATCGAAATCACCGAAATGGCTACTGAAAAAGAAGAAATGCGAGAAAACAAAAATTAAGTACATATACCACTTTTACGCGTACCAGTTTTTTTCGGTTAACGTTGATGGCGTCATTGGATTTCTGTTAACTCCGTGTATTTTGGTTTTTAATTTCTCTATTAGTTTCTTTTCATTGTGATGCATAGTTGGTTCTTCTGCAATAGAAGTTAAAAATTAATTGAAATCGGTACTGAAAATTGCAACACTTGTCCACATAATATTCGAACGAAACAAATTAACATTTTCGAATTTTACCGTGGTTTACAATTCGCGGTATAAAAAATAAGTTCAAGCCCGCCTCCATCGAGTGATTACTCATATCCAAACCGCTATTAATTTGTAATCTAGAACTGGAAAATACTTTACTGTAAAATTCCTGTAAGTGTATAAATAATTAAAGACCATTATAACGCTTTTAACCAATGAATAATCGATCATATTCTTTGATAAGTATATTACCTTGATTTTTTCCATTGCATTTGGGGTGAAATCTTCGAGTTCAGCTTTGTTATGTAAGAATACAATGTGTGGATAGTATTCAACATAATCTTGATCCATATTACTTGTTGAGGATGGTTTTAACATTTCTGCTGTTTGTAAAAACCTACAAATCATAAAGATTTCTAAAATGTGTTAACAAAAATCTACTGTTTATCATGCATATACTATGCTTACCTAACTAAATTTGGATCAATAAACCAATCTTGTACAAAAATGATGACATGACATACAGAAAAAAGGAATGCAGCAAATTGTAAAGACTGTAATTCTAAATTAGTTTCTGCATTTACAAAGTCTGTTGTAGATTTCTTTTGATCATAACAAGCAGAATAATCTATTGTTGATCCAGAAAGTATAGGTTGTGTATCTAAATATATCACTCTGTTTTTTGTTATAAAAAAATCAATACCAGAAGTGCAATTTGCACCGCTTTCATGATGAGATATATCTTGAATTGGAAATATATCAGACCTATTAATGGAAAGATAATGATAAAAAATGAATTATAATATATGGTTCAATAACCTTTGATGATACTAACGCATAACTAGATGTCAGTAAAGACATTATAGTTGATTTTCCAACACCCTGAGCTCCTAAGCATCCGATCACTAAGAAATCTTGTTGATCATATAAGAATTCAAGAGGATTTTCACAAAGTTGCATATTTTCATCCATAAACTTTACACAACTAGTCATTTCAGGACAGATTGGCAATATGGTACGTACAGCTGAAGAAAACATTTACAAAATTCTATTAGTTTTTAAATTTTATGATAAACATTCAAAGCTAATGACTAAGAAAACAAAGGACTTACCATCTTGTATTTTTGATGGAGCATTAGTGGAGGTATCTGATTCTTTCCTAACAAAGTAATTAAAAATTAAATTACAAGTTACCCCTACATGTTAATTTAAAATAAAGGCTTGGATTATCTTTACTTGTTACCACCATTACGTTGACTTGGTGAAACAGCTCTATTTTCGCCTTCTCTAGTTTTTAATATAAACGTTGGACGATCTATAACTTTAATTGTACCTCTACCATCAACCTCTTTAACTTCTGAATCTTTTGCCGTAATCGACATCATTTTGTTTGAATTATTTAGGTGACAACATTCACTGTCAGAAATAAGAGGATTAATTTCAGTAATTTATTAAATATATACCGCCATTCAGTTTCTTTTTCTTTTTCCCTTCAATTTCTATTTATAAACTCGCGTTCTATTAGTATTTATAATAATACATTTTGATTTGTTTTTATCTTGACAATCAACCACGTTTATCGTTTATGCGTGAATAACAATTATCACTGGGGCCATCTAGCTCTGAACGATGATACTAATAAAACATAAAATTGCGGTTTTTCTTAACAGTTGGAACGTTTCTTGCGTTTTTATAGTGAAAATTGTATTCTATGATAGCAATATAACTGATACGGTTCCACTATTATTTGCTAATCGTGATTTATCTATTTTATACCTTCACTATTCTAATACGATAACTGATTAGAATCGCCATCTACTTGTCAGGTGATGTATTTTTTGGTGTACCTATGATATGTCAATCGATACAGCAGTATCGAGGATGGTAAATATGCTCCAAATAGAGTCTATGGCCTATCCTATTGATATCGTAAACTGACAATGATGTCGTAAAGATTCCTAAAACGTCAACGCGGTTACTCTTCGCATGGAGTTCGAGGTGAATGTCAGTGGGTGTATCTTAAATATTTATGCGTACGATAGCTAATCACGTCAAATGTACTTATGAAGTATTCGAGAAAAAATGAAATGAAATTGAACGTGACATAAAACTTATTTGTAACTGATCTATTAATTCGCGTGACATATACAAAATATTTATTTAAAAAGTAATAAGTATTTTTCTACAATGGCTGATAATTTAGCAAAAGTCTTTACTACAGAAGACTTTAATCCTGAAAAGTGTAAGTAGTAACTTTTAATTAATGTTACAGTAACTATAAATAAAGTGTGATATTTAATTTATTGCAGTTGTAAAAGAACTTAGCGCACAGTGTGTTGGAGCAGATGAATTAAGACAACAAAGAGCTAAAATACAGGAACTTGCAAATAATACATCGGCCCAATTAAAGCGTAATGTTTATCAAAATTATATGCAATTTATCGAAACTGCCAAAGAAATCTCACATTTAGAAAGTGAAATGTACCAGTTATCTCAGTTACTGAGTGAACAACGTTCACTGTTAACTGCATTGGGTTCTACCAGAACTACAGGTGTCATTTTTGAAGAATCATCTGAATCTCAGTTAGAGAATCTTAATGATTTTACAAGTAAAGAAGAAGAACAAAAACAAAAGCTGATGCAATTACTTGAAAATGTGGAAGGTGCTATTGTAGGTTACTGAAATTTTTGTATTTATTTAATTAAATATATAACACAATGAGTAATTTTTGGCTTGATTCAATAGAGTTTAGCAGAAACACCAGGCCGTGTATGCTTACATGAAGGTTCTTTATTGGAATTAGATGCATTGGAAGGAACACCACTGAAGAGAGTTCATGCATACTTATTTAATGATATTCTAATGATTGCTTCTTGGTTGGCAAATGGTAGCAGGAGGGGACCGCCCAAATATAAAATGCAAGCTGTTTATAATCTTGAAAGTTTAGCAATCGTTAACATCAGAGATCTTGGAACAGTGAAATTAGCATTTAAACTTCTAGCATTTTCTGATACTAGAATATTTCAATGCGCGACCGCAACAAGCAAAGTTAGTACATTATATAAACAATATTTATTAAATTCACGAAGATGAGGTTTGTAACGTAGTTTATTTTATAGAAAGATTGGTTAGATAAGTGTGAGCAAGCAAAGAAAATGAAGTTGATTGAGGATAATTCAACTGGTACAATAGATTATGAGAAACGTCCAAAAGACGAGAAAACGGTACCATCGCGATCGATGTCCCTGGATTCCAATACTTTGGGTATGTTTGTCAGTTATAATTAATAGATTGAATCAAATTAAGTTAATTTAAATCAAATTAAATTTTTCAGTTCTTATTTTGTAGGTATAGACGAGGAAGATGCAGAATATCACGAGCCCCCACCAGAATGGATGTTGGAAGTAGCAGAAGACTTGGATTCTTGCATAGCACAACGACATTTCGAGGAAGCTTACAGCCTTTTAGAGAAGGCAAAAGCCTATTTAAAAGATTCGCAAGTAAATCCGCTTTTGCTTGAGATTCAATCAAAAGTAAATGACAGAGGCAAATCATTGGTAGATGTTTTAACAAAAGAACTTGAATCGAGCGTAGAAGCAAAGTCGCTTCAAGGCGGTGGTTTAAGAAGCGCTCGTCGCGTGGTGAAACTTTTAATACAATTGAATAGAAGTGCTCAAGCATGTCATCTATATTTACGGCTATGCAGCGCCGTGTTGAAAGCGCGTTTAAAACGAGTTAAAAGGGAAGGAGCCGTCTCGCCTTATGTGAAGCAGCTTAGCGCAATCGCTTTTAGTAATATCGTGGAAATTGCAAAAGAATTTCTCAAAATTTTTCCACAATCTACAAATTGCACGTCCGGTAAAGATTAGAAACACTACAGATGAATATCATTTAATATAGGGAATAATTTATTTATTTCTTCTTCTCCCACCTACCCTGATTCCTGTTTCTTCTGGTCACATTTAGGTCTGGTTGTCTGGTGCAGTCAAGAAGTAAAACACTTAACAACACATTTAACTAAACAAATTTTTACTCCACAAGTGTCCTTAAGTACACTAGTAGAATGTATAGTTTCTGTTCGAAGTCATTGTGATCAGGTTGGTCTCTATATTAATGTCTTATTTTATTCGCCTAATCATTTTAATGCATTGTCATCTGATTGGGAATTTTAAAATGGTATCGTTCGATACACTGATTTTTAGTTAACGCAACTTGGAATGGATTTTCGTTATCAATTGGATGGCCAACTCAGATCACCATTAGCTAAGGCTATACAGGACGCAGGCGAGAAATACGTAGATATCGTAAAGGTGCATATAGCTGAAGATACTTGGCGACCGAAAAGTTTGGAAACGAACAAAAATCTCCAAAAGTTATTGTCGGAATTAGATGATCTTGGAATAACTGTTCCATCATTTTATGTGACGAACAACTGTTGGATACAATTGACTAATAATACTTTAGCTTTCTCAAAACTTTATGTAAGTCTGCTAGAAGACTGTCTCAGTGTGGCTACGCCAGAATTAATGGCTACGATAGATGGAGTTTTAATATCGGTAATGCGAGTTCAAGTACAACATATATGTGGATCTCTTACCAATCCGAAATTAAAACAGGAGGTAACAATTTTCTCTCTACTTAATTCATCAAATTCTACTATTATTATTATTATCGTCATCATTGCGTTTATTGTAATTAAAAATATTTTCTTCTTATCGGTTTAGAGACAACTGGTACATGATAATGCATCGTATATTCGGGACATTGTAATTATGCGAGGACTCGAGCTATATAAATCAGCAACAAATCAAACGTTTAAAAAATTGTTAGCTCTAAAGGAACAAATCGTGTTTGATTCTTCGTCTCCGACAAAACCGAAGTCTGCTCCGAGAACTTCGATACCTAAATATTCGACCACAGAATATATTTAACTAGATTAATATGCATACGAGATAGATGTATTATATTGTATATATATATATATATATAAGTTATTTCGATCTTTTTAGTAAATACATGTACTGAATTTGACTATGAAAACAAAATTCTTTCTTGCTTTAATTGCAGGTACACAAAATAATACTAACATTGAACAAGTAAAAGTTACCACTAACTATCAAACAATTATGAGTAACTCAATGTTATTTTAAATTTTAGCAAACCTAATAGGAAATATTTACAGTTCAAAAGGAAAACGACTATTAAAATGAGGATTAAATTTCACAGCATTTCACTGTTTTATACTCTTATTTGTACACTCTGATTCTTTGGTATTTGCCTCTAGTTTTCTCTTCTTAGCACGTATATCTGCTAAAGTTTGCTCTATACTTCGTTGGTCCTTTTTATTTTCACTAGGTACTGAAAAAAATTGTGTAGTTGCAATTAATAACAAGTATGTATTAGCAAAAAGAATCTACTTACCACATCCATAACTGCTATTAGCTTCTGTTTTCCTAGCTGCTTCCAAAGCTGCTTCCTTTCCAATTAAATGTTCATATTTATCCTTATAGTAACTGTTTGGTATAAAATTGTCTTTTCGCTTTTTACTCTTAGTATTTTCTATTTCTTCTCTAGCTTGTCTTTCCCTTTCTTCTACTAATTTCTTTGCTACCTCTTCATTCCATTCTTCTCCTCTACGTAACACATTCAGTTGGTCTTCTGATGGAGCATATTCTCTTTTAAAAATTATAATATGACGATCTATGCCTTCTTCTCCAAAGGAATATGCCCATACATTTGCCACTTCAGCAACATCATGTCTATGGTATGAAAAAATACAAAACTATTATGGTGTTCATAATATAAACAATATTTTGTTTTATGTACATTATACTTCTATGGATTTGATCCATTGGAGGAAATTTATATTCCTTTGCATTATCATCCCGAAGAAATTTGTTGATCTTTTCTTCTACCTAAAGCAATGAAAAATAATAATGGCCATATAAAGACAGTTTTTACCAAAAGGAAACAATAGGTATAAATATCAAACCTTTTCTCGAAAAACTTTTAATTTCTCAGCTTCTGCTCTTTGAAACTTCTGATACTCCTCTTTCTGTTCTACATTGCAAAAGTTATTTTATAAATATTAATATAATTAATCGAAACGTTTATTATATAGGTTAACTTTAAACTAACTTTTTAAAAGTGTCTTTTGCTTGTCACTGACTGTAGGAGGCTTATCCATTGAGTTTAAGATAGATCCTAGTAAATCCATAATTTTGTTTGATAATATTTTAATAGCTGTTAATGAAATCTTTCTAATATTTTTTTAACTAATTCGCAACGCTCACAAATTTACTAGACTTTACTGAACAGACTCATGACAGTGACAGGTGCTATACTTATAAATGCTTGTAAATATATATAAAAGCGCAAACGCATTATAGTCATGCAATACAGTTGTGTGTGCTCATATATGAAATGAGTACCCACAAGTGCAAATCAGGCTTCTCTGGGGAAAATGATATACAAGAAAAACAGGTCCCTATTACTCGCAGTAGCATTCATAAATTGGGGGACATTTTCCATAAATTATAATTGAGTTAGTTAGTTAGTTATTAATTTAGCAAACCGTTACAAATAGTGCAGTTTAAAACTAAAAAATTGACAAACATTTAGCGGCAAAACGGGTAAACTAAACCTAAAAAATGAGGGTCAGCACACGCATATAAGGAAAATAAAAAAATGAATATTTCGGCACTTTGACGACGTAGTATGGTTCCTGAGGCATTTAGAAACAAATTTCTATTAGGGTTTGATGCGTTTTGATGCCTAATAAAGCCAGAAAATCAATTTTTGTCGAATTTGGTTCAAAACGGTACAGGTGGCGCCATCTAGCGGCGAGCGGCGGAACTACGAAAAACTAAAATCTCGATTTTCTCGAAAACTAAGGACTTTTCCGAAATTCTGAGATATACAAAATGTTCCTTATCGCCTACGGAATCGAACGAATGTAATTATAGCGCGCTAGGACAATTATTAAGGAAAATAGAAAAATAGCCCATTTCATGGACTAAAAAATTGGCGTCCATCTAGCGGCGAAAGTTGGAACTATAAAAATAGAAATTGATTTTCTGAGTTTAATAAGCAACAAAATGAATAACGTATTTAACAAACATTGCTTTGAAATGTCTAAAGAAGTACACTACGTCGTCGAAGTTGCGAAATATTACCTTTTATGTTTTTTCTTAAGGCGTGTGCGGGCATACGTTTTTTCAGTTTAGTTCGCTGTTTCGCCGCTAGATGGCGCCACTAGTTTTGTCCATAAAATGACATTTTTTTTATTTTCTTTACTAAAGCTTTCAGGAAACTTTTATTGCTTTATTTTGCTTCTAATGCGACCACGTAACACTTTCTGAGTCTCGGAAGTACTCAAAGTTCGCTAATTTTCGAGAAAATCGCATTTTTCTATTTTTGTAGTTCCAATTTTCGCCGCTAGATGGACGCCAATTTTTTAGTCCATGAAATGGGCTATTTTTCTATTTTCCTTAATAATTGTCCTAGCGCGCTATAATTGCATTCGTTCGATTCCGTAGGCGATAAGGAACATTTTGTATATCTCAGAATTTCGGAAAAGTCCCTAGTTTTCGAGAAAATCGCATTTTTATATTTTTGTAGTTCCAACTTTCGCCGCTAGATGGACGCCAATTTTTTAGTCCATGAAATGGGCTATTTTTCTATTTTCCTTAATAATTGTCCTAGCGCGCTATAATT